TAAAAAAGCAGGAGAAATTGTAAAAGGTTACAAACTACAGCAGATTAAATGTATGAATAGAGCAGGCACAGGGGAATTTGATGACTTGCAAGGGGGGAAAAATTGATTGTCCTATTCCAAAGCTATCAGCCATGGAAGCATGTCAGAGAGTTCAGAGTGCTGCTGGCTGCTCGGGCTCTGAAGGAAGGACTTGGAGTAGATCTAGCAGTACCAGAAAAACTGATCTTAATTTTTTTGTTGTTTGTGAGCTTGCCATGGAGCAGCTTGGAGGTTACCATGGTGGAGTCAGCAGAGAGCCTGCCTGAAACTGCAGTGCCCATTGCAGAGACTATAAAACAAGTAAAAGGCATGATTTTACAGCAGGGTGTCAGGGCTGCTTGTATCAACCCAGAAGTAAATGAGTTTAAGAATTGAATAGTTGGCTTGTTAAGTGAGAGGTTACATTCCTCCATACATTGAAGCTGCCTGAGGGCTGCAGTGCTTCCCCTGCATCACAATTTTTAGAAGGGGTCACAGGGAAGATTGGGGAATTCACTGACCAGCTGTGCCTTGCAGGCTGGTACAGCTAGCAGGGAGTGCAATTAACAGATCCTGTAGATGAACGTTGGGCATGGTGGCTGTGGGGGGAAGTTGTGCTCTGCAGAGCTGCGGAGTCCTTTGGAGGGGTTGATAACATATAAATAAAGGCAGTTCAGTTAATACTTGGATTTCCAAAAGACAAGCCTCCCTACCAAAAGGCTCTTTAGGGGCTTGTGGGGCATGGGATTAAGTGGAGAGGTCCTTTCATGGATTAAATACTGGTTAAAGAACAGAAGTTAGTTATTTTCATAGTAGTATGAGGTCACTAGAGAGTTACTTTGCAGAAATGTAGTGAGTCCTGTGCTCTTTAAACCTGTTCCTAAATGACCTGGAAAAAGTGATGAAAGATGCAGTGGCAACCTTTATCTGCCTATGGATAAATGTAAACATGGTGCTCATTGAATGGAATGGTGCTTGCAATGGAATGCAGGAATGGGCTCAGGGCTGGTGATAACCCAGAGGCAATAAGACATTACGAGAGATGAGTGGAAATGTCAGCACAGGGCTCAAGGCTTTCAACAAAGCAAATCAATTCTTGTTTATCAGGAACAGAGAACAAAGCAACCTCATTGTGCTCCTGTATAAATCCACATCACGCCCACGTTTGACATTCTGCCAGCCCCTCAGCTTGGGAAGGACGGAGCGAGACGGGCACCAGCAGTGCAGGCAGACAGAAACTGCTGCACCGGGGTGGCCATGCAGGCTGGAGAACCTCAGCCAGGAGAGGGGACAGGTGAAGGGCATCCAACTCGCTGTTTGGTGTCACTGCTATGGGTTGTGGCAGTGGGGTTGGCTGCTCGCTGCCGTCCAAGCTGAGGGCAAAACCAGCAGGTGCAAGGTAGAGGAAGGATGTTCCGCTGCCTGCACGTTATGGCTTTGGCTGTTCTGGTCTTAGGGTGACTGCAGAAGCCATTCCTCCAGCTCAGTTAAGTCTCTTTTCACCTACACATGGTTGCAGGTTTGGAAAATGAAGGGTCCAAGATGCAGGTCTTTGAGGATGTGTCACTGTGTGATTGCCCTACTCTGTTTTCCCAAAGCGCCCAGCCCACTCTTTCGGTCAGACCAGCGGTGCGGCCAGCTGCAGCTGCTCTGCCCTGCTCCATCCCTGCTGCTCCAACATCAGGGCGCTTCTCACACCCGCCCCAAGGGCACTGCTAATTTCTGAAGCATGGTTCCAGGCCGGGTTTGGGCTGATCAGTAGCAGCTGCAGCACGTGGCCAGCGGCGCGCTGCTGTGTGCCGGGCGTGCGTCACGGCTGGGCCCTGCGGCCAGCGAGGGCCGCTGCTGCCTTCCCTCCTGCAGCGCGGTGCCTGCGGTGCTGGCTGGTTTTTTCCTACTGTACAAATGAGGGCAGAAGATAACATCTCTTCAGAAAAACCTCTGACAAAGTTTCCAGTCTCTAAGTGAAAATCAAACGTTCTCAAGCATTTCAAAACACAGCTGTAGATTGTCACCACCTCTTGCCTTCACCTCCCTTGTTTTGCAGAGTGCATTTGTTAAAATCTGACTGTCTCCTCGCCACATCTTTGCCACTTGCCTTCTCCTGTGCTGCCGACCAGCCCGCTGCTGAGACTGCTGCTGTGCAGCTGCAGGGAGCAATCCTGGGGCGTCCATGGGGGCTGCACCGGTGCAACGTGTCGGAGCTGCCTGAGCAGGGGCCAGAACCCACACACAGCAGCACCTGAGAAATTAAGATTGGTGTCTGAGAGCTTCCAGCACAGGAACAGTGGGCAAACAGGCAGAACTTTAGGTGGGCAGTGGTTATGTGGGCAGTGCAACAAGGCAGGGCTCCCACTGTGTGGCCAGCAGGCAGGGCTGTGTACAGAGAGCTGGGTTTGTCTGCTCCATGCTTGGAGTGTTAATAACCTAGTATTAAATAATAACCTCTTCTGCTTTCCTTGGCCAATTTGAGGTAGCAGTTGTATCTTACATGTGCAGTGACTGTTGTTGTCATCTAGAATGTGATACCTAAGCTCTATATTAAGCACCTACCTCATGCTATCCTTTGGCTCTGATGTGTGGGAGAGCTGTGGAGGGAAGCAGGTGGCAGGGAAGCCGTGTGTGTTGTGTAATGGTGTGATGTCTGAGCGTGTTTTTGTCCTCCTCCATCACAGATGAAGAGAAAAGCCCTGTGGCTCCAGGGTATGGTTTCAGAGAAATTGAAGTTCACTGGAAAAACGAAGTGGGAAATATATGCAAGGAGTGAAGCTCGGTCTTCCCCGCCTAAGAAATTTTGGGAAGGAGATCAGCTTGGTGTTGCAGTGTGTTGTTAAAAAAGGGAACACGGAGACCCTTCTCTTGAGTGTAGTGTCTGACTCAGTTGGTAGAGCAAGACATTTGCTCAAGTAGCATCTTACTGCTTTCACAGCACTCCTCTCTGAGATGTGCTGAGGATGGCATTTCTCAAGGTGCTTCCCATCTCCAGTGGACATTCCTTTTGTTTGAGCTGTTAATGTGGCTGAAAGAGCAGTGAGGTGAGACCCTCTGTGTTGGGCTGCTGCCCAGCAGTGATGTGAGAACCCTCTTCTCAGTAAGTGATCTCACCTGCTGAAATCTCAGTTTATGCAATTTACAAAACCAAAGTAGGTGGGAAAGCAAGGATTGTTTTTTAGCTCATGGAAACTCTTTCCCTTCCCTACCATAGAGCTAAGGGAAGCTCACGTTTTGGACACAAAGCTTGCACAAAAATGCAAGCTGTTGCAGTATAAAGCACATCAAGGTGCTGGAACTGCAGGACTGAAGAGAGCTGGATGCTTCTGTTTCGAGTACCTTCTCCAGTCTTTGACCTGTTAGCAGTGCATGTGACCCTGGCAGTGAGATAGAGTGTAATTCCAGAGAAGGCACCGAACTGCTGACTATTTTAATGTCTTCAGATCTTTTGTTGTTTCTGTGCTTTTCTCACTGTTAGCTCAGTTTGGGTTTTGTGCTCCTGCTTGATGGCTGACCTTTTGTTGCTGCTTATAAAACCCTCGCAAGTCCTCTGGGGGCTGCAGATACACGGGATGTGAGTCAGTCAGACCGGGCTGCTCAGGGCAGGGTTGTTGCTTTGGCCAGCCTGTGCACTCTGTCTGGCTTGGAGCCCACACCAGTATTTGTCAGACCTCCCTGTGAGCTTCTTAACTCACTGACCTGGCAGAAATCTAACAAAGTCAGATTAAAAAAAAAAAAAAAAGCAGCTGGGTAGTTTGGATAGCTTCCTGCCAGGTCAGTGAGTTAAAGCTGCTTATGGCAGAGCCCTGCTTTTCATGGCAGCCAGCCAGTTGGTCCACTTGGATGTGGGGTGCTGCAGGCTGCTGCTGCTTTGGCCCTCTCTGGGCAATCCCAGGAACTTGCTGCTCCCAGCCGCTCCAGCAGCAGCGCTCCCAGTGTGCAGCCTGGGCCTCCTCCAAAAGCTGCCAGATGTGGCAGAGGACTGATTCACACCTACTGATTTTCTGAACACTAGAATGAGGGCTGCTGCTGTGGCCGTGGGGGTACCACTGCAGCACAAAGCAGGATGTGTCCCATCTGTAGCAGAGCAGCACGGGGCGCCGAGAAAAGGCAGCAAGAGGCAGAGACTTGTGCTGGAGACCCTCACTGCACATGCAGTGCAGGCAGCTCATTGCTGCTTGCTGGGCACCCTGGCTTTTCCATGTGTGTAGTGCAACAGCAGCATGCAAGTAAAACCCAGCAGTTCTCTGAGGATGGGAGCAGCCAGAGGTAGTTTGCTTTGCAGGAAGGATTGCAGGACAGAAAGTCAAGCTGCACAGCCAAGCAGGGAGAAGGTTTGGGCTCCTTTGGGCAGCGTGGCTCTGGCAGTTTCCTTCTGTTGCCACAATTCTGAGACAAGGGGCGAGGCTCTCATCCAATGCCCTGGGTGCCGGCATCTCATGCAGCCAGTGGCTGGATCTGTAGAGCTGGGCTCTTGTTGCTCTCTGGTGTTCTGCAGTTTCAAAGTGCTCAGGTGCGTGGTCCCCAGGGTTGGGGCTGCTGGCAGCCTCCCTAGCATCACTGTGCCCCCTCAGCTGCCCCTCAGCACAACAATGCCAGTGGTTTGGGCTGGAAGCATGCTGAGCAGGGGCTTGTAGGCTGCAAAAGGGAGAGGGATGCCAGCTGGGGAGTAAAGGGCATTCTCTGACAACAGGGAAGGAGCTGCTTTCATGATGCCATGGACAGACAGATTGACAGATAACACTGAGCCTCCATTACTGTGCAGCAACATCACCCACTGAGATGAGATCTTGGGCACAGTGCCAAACCCTTCACATATCTGTACAAAAGCAACCTGTTCCTGGCAGTGGTTGTGGAAAGACAGAGGTCTGACAAAGTTGCTGATGTGGACAGAGCAGCAGTGGTAAAATATGGATGAGATACTTGCTGCTGGAGTTCCCATAGTACAGCCAGTATGCATAATGCTGAGGCTGCTTCTTCTCTCTCTGCAGGAACATGACATTGAGACAGCTTTCGGAGTGGTCCATGTCACCATGCGAGGCACACCCAAGGGGAGCAGACCTGTCATCCTCACATACCATGACATTGGCCTCAACCGTAAGCCCTTGCATTCCCAGGACTCTGAAAAAGTGTTTGTGATTGTACTTGTTTTATCATTTGAATGTGGTGAGCACTGGGACTGGGCTGGTCCTGAGGTGGGACAAATAGTACAAAGGTACAAAGACAAAGATCTGCTTGAGAGAGAGCATGGGGCATGCCCCTGCCCTCTAAGAGCCCTCAATAGGTGGGACTGGAGTGGAAGTGGATCCACCACGCACAGGGCTTTAGCTGGCTTGCAGCACTGCTTGATAGAGCTGCTCACCTTGAGGTATTCATTCCCCTGAACAGTGGAAGGTGAGCAAGTCCCTTCTATAAAGCTGAGGAAGTACTATAATGTCTGCAGTGGACTCAGCTGCTCTTTTCTCCCCATCCCACTCTATATGTGCTGTTACGTTCATGTAGGTGCTCCTCAGTATGCACCACGAATGCTCAAGCACTACAAGGCACAATTTTCCTAGGCATGAATGCTTAGTGGTGTTTGCCTGTCTGCCCTCAGTCGTGGCAGTTATTTTGCTAAGACTCGTTGCAGTCACTGGGGCAGAGCAGCAGTCACCCAGCACCCCCTGTCCCACAGACTCAGCGTGGAGGTTGGGCTCGTGCAAGTGCATGCCATGATGTTTGGATGACAGTAAAACTTCTTCAGGGAATGCCTCATGTCTTTTTTTTTTCTTTTGCAGACAAATCCTGTTTCAATGCATTCTTTAACTTTGAAGATATGCAGGAGATCACTCACCATTTTGCTGTGTGCCATGTGGATGCGCCAGGCCAACAGGAAGGAGCCCCTCCCTTCCCATCTGGGTACGAGCTCTGCAGAGACATTTATAGTTCCAGACATGGTTGCAGTCTGGCCTGTGGTAGAACCTAGTTTAAGCCAACTGGGACTGCTAGGGCAGGACATGGTGGGAAGCAGCTTTCAGGAGCAGAGGAAGTAGGAAGATGAGGAAGCTTCCAGAGAGATATGCAAGGGACTCTCCTGCCACTATGGCTCTTGCTGGCACCAGCTCCCTGACTTGAGCATGAGCCCAGCACACTGCAGTCTAGCTGGCATTCCTCTGTCTGTTCATCCTCCCACAGATGCCTGGCTGCCCAAATAGAGCTTTCTGTTAGGCTTGCTTTGAGGGCTGGGATCCATGTTGCTGCCTGGACTACAGTATCATTGTAGAATAATGACCAATCACTAGAGTATCCCTGTAGAATAACCACCTACATTGGGTAGAATTGGGAGGTAACTTCTGATGAGCTGTATTTGAAGGTGCTTTGATTTCAGCCTCTCTTGGTTTTCAGGTACCAGTATCCCACTATGGATGAACTGGCTGAAATGCTGCCTGCGGTTCTGACACACCTGAAGTAAGTCTCTGAAAAGAAACAGGGTGAGCCAGCTGGATGCAGCCATTCCAGCACATCCCTCTATCAATGCTTGAAATATCTGATATGCCCACTGAGTTGTCTCATAGGGCCTGAGCGCCTCCTAACCTGTGTAACTCTGTCTGGTTCTTATGCTGAGATCATTGTCTGCCAGATGAGACGATTTATGGCTGCTGAATCATTGCTGGGTCGTTTTGAAAATGAACTATAAGTGAACAGCTGGATACTGAGGAGGGGAAAAGCTTTGCCTTTTGGGATGCTTCAGCTGTGAGCTTATATTAGTCTTACTGATGGTAAAATGTCTATATTTCAGCCTGAAAAGCTTCATTGGGATTGGGCTGGGAGCTGGCGCATATGTCCTGAGCAGGTGTGCAGTAAGTATCTCTTTATTCCTTATGGCTTATATGAGCTGGGGTCTTTACTTATCATACAGACCACTTGTGAGGCATGGGCAAAGTAGCAGTAATTACAGCAGGCATGCAGGGAGCTTTGCGAGAGCTTCTTCGTATCGAGATGGTTAAATTGGAGCAACTGAGGCTATGTCAGGTATGGAAAGATAGTAATGTGATGTCTTTGAGTTAGCAGAGCCCATCCTGGCTGCTAGAAATGCCAAGCCTCGGAATGATTGGTGGTAAACAGAACACTGAAGGTAGTGGTGTCTTCACAATTACCCTCTGACTGCACTACTGTGTGCTGCTGCCAGTGCTGGGGGCACCAAACAGTTGATCTGGTGATGTGCTGTGGACTAGCACAGATGATGAGTGTTTCAGTGGAAAGGAAGAGAATTTAGCACTCCACCTTTAGCGAGGAGGCTCACTGCCTTTACGTTGTTACTTACTTCTACATTTGTCCCTGATGAAGTATTTGTGAGTATGTAAAATCAGTGGACATGGCCTAGGTATTTACCTGAATCATTCAGGGATAGTTTTAAAAGCAGACACTGAACTGTAACATTCTCAGTAAAGTTTGCTTGAATTTGTTGAGTGCAGAGATTTGCTCATGGTTTAGGCCACTAATTGCTTCTTAAAGCCACATGCAGTTGCCCCTCTTACAAAAAAAATCTCTGCTTCCCATTTCTTGTAGTCAGGATTTTGTTAGGGGAGAGCTTAGTTGAGTTTAAGTCACTGGTGTTTCTTCTGTTCCTTACTTTGCATCTTGCAAATTTTGAGGCATTGATCTTGCATAATTATGAGGCTTAATAAAGAAATCACTCAAAGTGTGGCTCAGTGAAGTGTTAGAAAGCCCTTGCCATGCTACGTGGATTGTAGACCATTTCCTTCTGAGGGGCAGAGTTGTTTCCTTCTGCTTCACTGGTGCTCATCTGTGCACTGGAACAAAGCATGAGCTTCACTAAAATTTCAGCCTTTGAGTGAACTTAGAGCTTGAAGCTTTCCACTTCTGTTAGATTGATTGGTTTTGTGTTCACAAGCAGTTCTTAAAGTGTTTGAGACTGTAGGGTTTTGAGATGGCAGGCTGGAGCAGGGGGAGAGGTATTTTGCCTTGCATACCTCTTGCAAGAAACTTGCAGCTGATGCCCCTCCCAGTGTGGCTTAAGCCGTCCTTCTGAGTGTGCCTGTGCTCTCTTCCCACAGCTCAGCCACCCAGACCTGGTGGAGGGACTGGTGCTTATTAATGTTGATCCATGTGCAAAAGGCTGGATTGACTGGGCAGCATCCAAGGTGAGATTTTCCAGCCCCCACATACCTTCTCTCCATAGTGCTTAATGAACAGTGTGTAGAGTAAGAAAAGGACTGAGTACAGGAATTTTTATTACCAAAACTACAAAATCTCATTTCTTCCCCTGCTGTGTCCTTGGTCTGGGTGTAGCAGGACCTACACCATAGAAGCAGAAGTGGGTGTGATCATGTGTGAGTGAGTAATCCTGGTAAACTACATGAAGATGAGTTGCTTCTGAGCACTGATCTTTCCTCTGATTTACTACTTTTGCTTTCAGGATTCATCTAGCTGAGTTTGAGCAAATCTTTTAGTAATTCTGCTATTCTAGCTACCTGCAGTTGTTTAAAGTTTCAACATTTCTGGAGAGTTGTCTGTTGTGTGTGCTTCTTTGGAGCCTTGTGAGTCCATCCCAAATTTCAGGCATTTGTTTTCATATCCCTTGAAAAGTTTTCTTATTTTCTTTATCTTCTTTAAGTTCTTTAACTTCTTTTCATTATTTTCTTTAATCTCTTGAGCTGCTTTGAAAGTCTTAATGAAACAGCATTTTCCAGTACTCTCACTCTCCCTCATTCATTCTCTTCAGTTTTCAGGCTGGACAACCAACATAGTGGATATTGTCTTGGCACATCACTTTGGACATGTAAGTAACCAACAAGTGTTAATGTTGCCCCTGCAACCTCGCATGGACCTCTGACTTCTGGATGTACATGCTCTGAAGAACCCTGGTCCGTCAAATAAGGGGTGCCACAGACAGTGTTATCTTCTCTATGTGGCAAGCTTGCATCAGGGTTTTGCATGCTGAAGGGAGCAGGTGCATCCTCACAATTGCACTGACTTGGCTGTCTCCAGACTCCAGGTGTGGCAAAGAAAGTAGTGCCCCACTCTGCCAGCGCTGCAGAACATCTTCCTTTGTGCTGCCCAGGGAAGTGTCTGCAGAAACACGTGGCAGACAGTACTCTGTAGCCAGTGTGGAGGTATTTGGGCTGTAGGCAGTGGACAGATTGGCTGGGATTGACAGGGGTTGTTGTATGTGTCCAGAACTGCTGCATTTTCTTCCCCTTCAATTTCAGCAGAGTCAAAGTAGCCTCTTTGGAAGACTTCAGCTACAACGATGCCTTCCATTTGGGGTTTGCTGACTCTCAGTCAGCGAGCTTGCAGGGAAATGGAAAGGGTCCATGTCTCACATGCACAGCATATGACCTGCAGCAAGTTAATCAACCTGAAGACCCTGTGATATCACACATTGGAAGTGAAAGGAGGCAGTTGGCTTCCTCCTGCTTTGAGCACATGCTTTTCCCATCCTTTTATTATGTATAATGCTTCCCTGCATCCCACACCCTTCCCCTCACATTGAAATGCAATTTCTTCACTGAGCTGGGAGTTTGGATGAGATTCTCCTTTGGTCCCAGTCCTGGCACTTACCTCTAAAGCTTTTCTTCTTTACTATTAAACATAAGTGGAAAACCTTCCTAAAGCAGAATGGTTTGTACCTTTATAAGAACTGCTGAGGCTTAGGAGCTTAAGCCATCTGAAGATACCTTTATACACGTACTTTCTTTGCATGTGTGCTGCCGTTTGTAAAAGTACAAAAAACCCTAATCTCATTACCAAAAATTGCACTTAGCATTCATTTCCACTCGATGTAGCCAAGATACCAGTGCAGCCTGGAGTCACTGTCCTGTGGGCTGTTGACCATCACTGAGCAGTGTGTATGGAAACAGTTCAATGCTGCAGTATTTTTATGAATATAATTTCTTATGAATTATTTTTACATGTGAAAAAAGATGTGTTCCTTATCTTTTTGTTCTTTTGCTTTTACACAGGAGGAGCTGCAGGCAAATCTAGATTTGATCCAAACATACCGGCTTCATATCGCACAGGACATTAACCAAGATAACCTTCAGCTCTTCCTCACCTCATACAACAGGTACAGGATACTTATTTGCCTGCTAGATTCAGTGTTGTTCCTATACCCATCCTGCTCAGTAGATTTGTTACCATATATATTATTCTACTGATATTTTTCTGTGGGAAGCTATGTCCTAAGTGTAGCCCTTCAACTGTTATCTGGAGCCAGGCTCAGTCTTGTACCTGGATGACCCTTTCAGACCTCTTTGGGTCTTCTCTCAAGGCATACAGCAAATTTGCCACAGATCCCATTTTCTGGCAGTGGCTACTGGGGCTCGAGCTCATGGCATGACTGTTGTCAGGGTGCTGGAGCCAGCATGCGTGGTTGTTTTTTGAATGTCCTGACTGTAAGCCTCTGCTGATCTGATGCATTGCTCTGCTTTGTCTTCCAGTCGCAGAGACCTGGAAATTGAGAGACCAGTGATTGGTGTCAATGAAAATACAGCAAAAACACTCAAGTAAGTCACTGTTAATCAGCCTGGTTAGTTACCATGCAGTTCCTTCAACAGAAAAGGTGTTGCCGGTTTCTTAGCAAGAGCCCCTCTAGCCCAAGTGCTGGGAAGACAGTCACAAGCTTTGTTGCAGTGCTGTCAGCCAGAGAGGCAGAGAGGTGTCTGGAAGCCCTTTCAGTAAGAATGTGATGAGATTCCCTCGAATGTGGGGTCAGAGGAATAACATATCCACCCAGCAGTCACTGTATTTGCTGAACCATTAATCTGATTATTTTGTGTGAAAAATTAGGCAGGTTTTCATTTGCTGCTGCTGCTGCCTGTCTTCCCCTGCCCTGCTCTGCCCAGAAAAGTTACCTGCACAGTTCTTGTAGAGGTAGCAATGCAGGCATGGGGAGGGTGTGACGGTTCCCACCTTGGCAGTGACTCAACAATCACAGAGCAGATAGTCTGTGCAATGTCCAGCTGAGAAGAGACAGACATTGGAGAATTAGTGGTTACCAGTGCAGGAGATGTATAATTTTCAAGTTCCAAGCAGGAAAGCAAAAAAGGGTAAACCACCTCCGGTATATAGAGCACATGAAGGCTGCAAATTGCAGTGCTGAGGCAGGATGCCTGGGCTAGGCAAGAGTCTCCTGCACAGGCTCTGTCATGTGGACTTCTGCTCCTGTCAGACACAGCAGATGTTTTAGGCATCCACAGCCAAACCCTCTAAATCTTGGTTAACCTGAAAGAGGTGGATTTCCCTGCTTAGTCCCTGCTCTGTCATGCAGGCAGCTGTACACCACAGAGCACTGCCCATTGAAGTGACTCACAGGAATCTGCAGGCTCATTTCCTGTGAAAGTTGAGGTCTCTTTGCTTATAGACTGGCTTATAGGCCCTCAGGCCCCCAGCCGTTGAAGGTACTTGACTGGATTAGAGGTCTGATACTCTTAGCATAAGTTTTGCCATCTGGTCCATTGGGGTCTCTAACCCAACCCTTTCTCATCTGTGAATGAATAATAATGTGTAAACTTACAGCCACTTGATCAGTGGCCTCCTGCGTATGTTTTACACATTGAATGTTAACTACTCTTCTTCTTCTTCAGCATGTACCAAAAATGAACATGAAATCACAGATTTGTCAACAGGGGCTTTAATATCATATTTTTCAATATAAGTTCCCAGCATTTTTTATGTTTCTTTCATAAAGCTGAACCAAAATACAATGCTGACCAGTAGTTAGCCTCAGAGGCAATGCACTCTGTTGGGTGACCCTGTTCTTAAACAGCTAACTTTCAGGCATTCATTCCAGAGAGCACACACCCTCTGCTGTCTGGGAAGGTGCTTCTAGCAGCCCTAGGTTCATCTTTTAACACGTGTGAAACATCAGTGACAGTTGGTGTGCATGGAGTGGATGTGCAAGCCATGGAGGAGGTTTGGGTGAAAATAAAAAGCTGTGATGTGTTGACATGCAGGGATTTTGCTTAGCATTGTTAACAGCATAAGGCTGTTGGTACACAGACCTCAGCCTTCTCTTGGAATCAGTGTAGGTAACATGTTTCTGTTTGGGGTTTTTCCAGGTGCCCTGCCTTGTTAGTGGTTGGTGACAACTCGCCTGCCGTGGAAGCAGTGGTATGTACACACAAACATAACCTTAACCCAGAGAACATTTAGCAAACAGTCTTACCAGCAATGCTTTCAACTTGCCCAGAAGTAGCACAGAAAGTCTCTCTTTGTCCAAAGCTCTTTTTTTCTCTCCCCATCTATTGAGAACTGTCAGCCATTGGTGGAAGAGCTGAAGCTGGGGAGACCTGACAGCCCTGCAGGGCAGCTCTGAGTAATAAGAGTACTTGTGCCCCATGTGTCGTGCTTAGCAAGCACTGGAGACCCCTTTCAAGAACTTGTACGTTTCCTTGAGATCTTCCAGGGTGCTGCCTGGAATTCAGTTTTCAATTCATGAGTTGCTGAACTCCTGCTGTTATACTGAGGCTACTTGAGGTTTAAAGAGAAGCCGTTGTGACTCTGTTGTGGTGGGTAACATAGAGCTCTGCAGGAACACCATGTCACAGGGAAACTAACAGCCAGTAGCTTCTCCTTCCTGTTGTTATCTCTGCAGACACCAATAACCACTTCCCCCCCAGCACAGTGTGGCATGGCCCAGTGCAGAGGGGTTTGTGGTGCCCTTTAGCAGGAGAGCGTGTGGAGGCTGGGGGCTTGTTGAAGAAGTTTCTTTAAGGAACTTGGAAGAATGTAGGAATTTTCTAAAGCAGTAGCTCGGACCTGAGAGCTGTGCATGGAGAACTGATTCAGGGCCCTCTCTCATCATGGCCTCCTGCCTTTTCACCAGTCTGGAATGTACAGAAATCAGAGACTTTCTCAAAGTTTTGACTTTGCTGGGATGATATCCCTGAGGATTCTCACTGCCTCCCAGATACAGCTGACAGAGGGGATAGGATCTCCTGGATCTCCTGCTCTAGAGCTGCTGTTCCTATAGGTCCCCACCTATTCACTGTTGACAGCAGGACTGCACAGAAGAGGTGGCCGTGGCCTCCTTGCCTGGCTGGGGAATTGTGATCTCCTTCCATGCTGTACAGTTCAGAAGTCTGTTTCTCTCCCAGTTTTGCTGTCAGAGCCCAGGGGAGTCAGATGTTGGGGATGCTTTCCCATTAATTCACATCCCCATCTCTCTGAAGAGTCATGTTTATTGCCACAGGGTCCACTTGGATTAGAAGACCTGCCTTTCCTCCCTGCATCTTCATTCACTGTTCCTTTCCTACCTGGTATCTTCTTTCCTGGTCAGTCCTTTCTGGCTCTGGAGAAGCTTCTGTTCTGTGGTACAACTGCCCCACACTTTTCATCTGACTCTGAGTTTTCTGTTATATTATATACCTCTTTCCTCCTTTTATTTTAGGTTGAATGCAATTCACGTCTTGACCCAACCAAAACTACCCTTCTGAAGGTAAGCGCTATTCTGAATCATCCCAGCCTGCAAAAAGACATGTTTGTTTTTTTTGCTGAGTCAGCTCCACTTATGTGTTTGCCTTCCATGTGTTTAGCTTCAGGAGGTTTCTGGACAATCACTTAGAGCTGTGTTCTTCCTCTGGATGGAGACAGACTCAGGAGAAAAGAGTTTGTCATCAGAGGATCCCTGGTTCCCTACTAATCTAATGAGAGTTAGCAGAAGTGCCCTGCCTTGACCCTGCTCACTGCCAGCAACATCACCCCTTTTCATAGCTTTCTCCCAGTCCATCCCATCTTACCTGTAGTTCCTCAGCGTGCAGCATGTATAGAATTGTAACACACCAGATGTGGGAAGAGCAGCAGGAGGAGCTGGGCAGATGTTGGGTTACTGCTCAGCTTCTAGAGCATGGGCTGAGATTGCACAGTAGTGCAGCATCCAGGATGCTGAGTTTCTTCAGCAGCAAGCCCCCAGAAGACATATCACCGGGTCTTGCTTTGGCTTTAGAGGTGAAATGTTAAAAAAGTGCCTACTGTGGCAGTGCAGCTGGCGGGGTGGGCAGCGCTGGCCCAGTCCTGCAGCTGATATGGGATGGGATGAAGACTCAGCATCCGTTTGTTTCCCCTGCAGATGGCTGACTGTGGAGGACTGCCCCAAGTGGTTCAGGTGAGAAACAGCTCCCAGCTTTTCCATGGGATTTGATTTGTTCAAAGCCCTTCACTTTGCTCACACTAATGCCTCCCTTTCTGTTTCCACAGCCTGGCAAGCTGACTGAAGCCTTCAAATACTTTGTGCAGGGAATGGGCTACAGTAAGTGGCAAACACAGTTTTCTGGTTTGGAGTGGGTTTATTCTGAGGGGAACTCAGCCTTTTTGGTCCATCTGAGCCCATTGGCATCTGTGTCCCCACTCATAAGTTAGTGTGGTTGCCAGGACATCCATCCATGCTGGAAAATCAACTACTGCTAACGAGTTAGCAAACCAGTACTGTTCCCTGATGCGTGTTTAATCTGCACCAACCTTTTTGGTTGGTTGCTGGGATTGATAAAATGTTGTAAATCTATGTTTGTTGTAGTTCAGAGAAATGTGCTTGCAAGGACAACAAGTCTTCAGAAATCTTCTGTGCCAGCTTCTCCAAAGGGGAAGGAGTTAGCACAGCCTCATGCTTGTGATGGGTATGTGAGAGTTCTGCCCTGTGGCTCCTCCCCATGCATGGAGACAGAAGACATCATGTCCTGAGCTCACTTGCCCTTGGTATTCCGGAGACTGAGGTTCTCAGGAGAAGAGCTTCTTGGTGCATTTAATCAACTTTCTCTCCATTGCAGGTCCCTTGGCACAGCTCTGCCTTGCCTGCCAGGGGCCGGGGCTAGAAGGTCCCTTCTGTTGATGGTAGACCTTCAAAGGCTAGAGTTACAGGAGGGTTGGTTCCCATGGCTAGTAACCACACCTGAGCATGGGCACTGTGTTGCTCCTATTGGCCTCCACGTGGCCAGAGATTCTTTGCCAGCTCATGGGTGTCAGGGCTTAAAGAAAGCTGTCCTTTTCCCTAGTGCTTTGTGTAGCTGGCGTGAGCATACTGGGACAGTCTTGTTCTCTGAGCCTGTCCAGAAGAGCCTGACCCTTTAGAGGAAGATGCAGTGTGAAAAAGACCCATTAATCTCACAGGCTTGAGAACATTTCCATGTTCAAGTCTCATGTGCTCCTGGTGCTAATAGAGTCAGCAAGTGCTGACATCAGAGTGGGGATGTCAGCAGGACTTTGGGAGTCAGATCTCTTGCCAACAGGATGTGTAGCACAGGGAAAGGATAAGTGGTAATTTTCTACTTCTGGAATTTGTAGCTAGTCTCAGAGCTGTTTTACCAGCTTTGGTTGGCAAGACTGTGCAGGAGTGCTAAGCGTGGGCCAGCAGGTCCTCCCCTAAGAGCAGAGCAAGAGCTCAGCAGCTTGTCACCTCTACAGCTGCACAGACCAACTTTCCAACAGCCTTTCTTGTTTCTTCTGCACACTGGCTGAAGTGGTTGGACCTATCCATGCTGACACTGCAGGTGGAAAGTAATGCCTTGCTTGTAGCTGGAATCTGATGCTATCAACTCTAGGAAAGGCAAGAATTTCTGTTCAGTATTCAGAACTGCAGAATAATACTGCCGTTTTCCCACCTCAGGAAAACTTTGTCTCTACTGTGCAGTTGTGTGTTCAGTGGTGGGGAGGTGAGGTCACCAAGTGCACGGCAGCTTCCAGCCATCATCACTGGAGAGATTTGGGCCAGGTAGATTTTTGATGAGATGCTCCTTAGCAGCTGTTTTCTCACATAGCGGGAGCTACAGCGTAGTGTGTGAGCTGGGAGTGGAAGGGAAAGCAGCCGGGGATCCCAGGAGCAGTGCAGCTGGTAGTCACGCTCTGCAACTAATTGGCTCTTTCCTGTATTCATCCCTTTCCTTGTCTCGTGTTGTTTCCAGTCCCTTATGTGCAGCTCAGCCACCTAAGCACTGAGTCAGGTACCTTCAACTGTGCATCTGCCTTGGCCCAAGTCTGTGTACTGAGTTGAATGATTCTTCGGGTGCATTGCTCCGTCTCAGCATGTCCTGCTGGCCTGCTCTGGGCTAGGCTGATCCATCGTACAACGTGTTTGCTATGGTTTTTCACCTTTCATTTGTATTTTGTTGATTGTTGCATGACTTCAGTTCTGTGGTTTTCAAGAGTGACGAGACTGACTTTCAAAAGGTCACCTGTACAACAGCTGCCTTGTTTGCACACACTCACCGTGACTGCGCCTGCAAATGATCAGTTACACTTCTGGCATTTGCTCACCTTGGACCTTTTGAAATTGGGCCTTAAACATCTTGCTTTAGACGTGCAAAGACTTAATTTTGGCAGTGAAGAGTGAGTTTTCTTCCTGAGGGTAGAGCTCTTTCTGCGCTTACCCAGCAGCACATACTTGGGTGACCATGGTACTTGCTCTGAGCCTGTGAGCTTCTTCCTTTTGTAAGCCCTGCTCTTGTTCTCTCTTGCAGTGCCAGCAGCTAGTATGACCAGGCTGATGCGCTCACGTACTCACTCCTCATCTAGCGTGGGCTCCGGGGAGAGCATCCGCAGCCGGTCCCACGCCAGCAACCATGGTGAAGGCAGTGCTGGAACCCCAGATGGAATTGATCTCCAGGATGCACCTCAAACCATGGAAGTATCCTGTTAAGCAGGAGTCCCTCTTCTGGATTCAGACAATTCCACTCGCCCCACTGAACCCACTCAGAATCTAGCATTTCATACAACGTGGCATTAACTGTTCTCTCTAACTTGTGCATGCCCATCTGAGCTGCCACCTCCTTAGTAGTCTGTACTTGGCATTACTTTGGTCCTTTCTGTATGCCCTTGGTATCAGAGCCTCTTTACAACCCGTTTAACATTCTGCAGTCTTAGTAAATCACGTTACTGTACATGCTGATACCATCTCCTGTCTGTGCTGTATATCAATCCAGATGACAGCCATTGTCTCCCCTGTTCATTTATATATAATTTCTGTGGCTTTGTGAGGTTTTAGAATTGCTTTCTAGTTGTGCTTCTGCTAAAGGACCCTTGTGGTGCAGTTGGAATGGCATCTGTGGGACACAGGAAAGCAAGACCATGATGATGTGACGCTCGAGGCACTGGAGGCAGAGCTGTGCCTGGAGCACGGAGCCCACAGGGAGGTCTTTGTGTTCCAGGACTCGTGGCACACCAAGCAGCTGTCGGAAAACCAACAGTCAGAAATACTGTCGTGGTCTTATCTCTGTATGTGTGTTAAGAAGGAGCAGAGTGATTTCTTACCGGAGCCTCCTGAAAGGGCAAAGCAATTAACAAGTGAACACTAACTGAGGTGCACTATTAATCAGAGTACAAGGGATTAAAGTGCAGCAGCTCTGGCCTCCAGGCTGCCCTTCCTGCAGGGAGCTGAGTGCAGTTAAGGCATAGTCACTGTTCTGCCCTGGCACAGGGGGGATCTTTCTTTAGCATCAAGTAAGTTGTGGAATGGGCAGCAGTGCCCCTCGCCATCCAGAGATCCCCCTATCTCCTGCACTGCCATTTCTGCCTCTCACTGCTGCCATCCCCAGGCAGGGTGTCTGCACAGGGACTTCGCTGTGGCTCAAGCAATGCCAGTGAATGTCAATGACTGCCATGGGCCGTGTCCGTGTGACTCAGGCCTGCAGTTGAGCAGTGAATGCCTTTGTGCAGGCACTGTTTACCGTCTTCGTGGAGTTCACAGTTCTGCTGCCTTTTTGCATCTGTCTGGGTCACAGAGAGCAGGAAGGAAATGCCTGCTGTGTGCCAGGGTCTGGCTGTTAATGGGAGAAAAGGGATGAGTGGTCAGGATGCTGCAGGTCTTGATAGACGAGCAAAACCTCCGTACTTACCAAGTGAGCAGTCCTGACTCACTGGGAGGCAGCTCCCCCGAGGGTCACGCTCATGTTCTGCTCCATTTCAGGTAGGGAATGGGACCGGGAGGCTCTGCCTGAGGGGAACTTTGTACCGGTTATTAAATAAAGCTATAACTAAGTTTCATTGTTACCCTGCCTGCTCACCTTGTTTCTCTTGGCAGGGCCTGCGCTGCAGTCCTGTCTCACTGTGGTGTCCCTGTGAGGCGCAGCCCTGGCAGGGCAGTGCTGGCCCTCCTGGGGCTGTCCTGGGGCAGGGATGTCTGCGGGCATCGCTGCGGGTTTGTGCCCGAGTGCACAGAGGAACTTCCAGCTCTGACTTTCATCGTCCAGCTGACGGTTTGCCACCCAGAGTTGCCTCCAAAGGCGGCGGGTGCTGCTGCTGTCTGCCCTGCTCAGCGGCTGTCCTGCCGGGCCCAAGCAGAGGGTGCTGCAGAAAGCAGTGTAAGCCCTGCTGGCTCTGTGACTGTGTGCGTCCAGCCAGGTGTGCACAGAGCAGTGCTGAGAACAGCCGTTCATCTTCTGCTTCTCAGATCCAGTTTCTGCTCTCAAGATGACAGCCAGCTCGTGCTCACGGGGAGTATCTGGGGCTGAGAAGCAGTGAAGCTGCTGTCTCGGGTTGGTCCTGGTGCTGCAGCTCTGCCCGGGCTGGGCTCAGGTTCACACGTGGGGAACTCCCACTGAGATGCAGTGTTTTCCAGAAGTGCAAACTGTCTGAAAGGTGAGAAACAGCAAGAGCTGCCCGGCGGGGTGAGCGTGAGGTCTGGTCGGGGAGGGCAGGCCGAGCCCTCGGGTGCCAGGTGAAAAAAAATTAATCGCTGCTAATTGCCAGTGCTGGGTGTAAGAGGAGTTGCAGCTGGCATCACTGCCGGACGGCTGCGCCGAGGGCAGCGGCACGTAGAAGTGATTCCTCGCCGAGTTCCCTCGTGAAAATACAGAGCGAAGGGAACACGAACACAGCATTAAATGAGCTAAAGGAAACAACCGCACCGCGGGGCTGTGCGCGGTGCTGGCGGGATGGAGCCCGGGAGAGCAAACGGATGAGATTTCGGCATTCTGAAAGGGAGATGAGGAAGAAGGGAGCTTTGCTGCCGTGGCTGCTGAAGGGCACAGCTCTGCCGGGCTCCGCAGGGCTGCGCGGTGGATCCCGGGCCGCTTCGCCCTGCGCCGCCGGGCACCGCTCCGCGCCGGGGGCAGCCGGGCAGCCGAGCCGCTCGCGGGGCGGATGCCGCCTGGACGCTCCGTGCGGGCAGCGGGCGCTTCTCCTTCTGGTTAAAGCCGTGCGAGCGCTGCAGCCCCGGGCAGGAGGTGGAGAAGGACGTCTGGCCCCGGGGCTTTCGGTGATGGCTTCAAGGAGAGAAGCAGCTTCTTCCCCCCGACACATCTGTTACCGTAACTCCTGGGGGAACCGATAGAGGCGGGTGGGTGCAGGGCCCTTCTCCTCTTCCGGACCTGAGGCTGCGTCCCGGGCCGACCCGCGGCTCCCTCCCTGCCTCCTTCTGCCTCTTCGCTCACAGCACCGCAGAGGCCCCGCGCTGCCGCACCCGCGCAGCCCTCAGCCCGGCCCGCGTGCCGCCGGCGCCGCACCGGCGCTGAACGAGCGGTGCGGAGCGGCGCAGAGCCCGAAGCCCAGAAGCCCTCTGGGGGCGCGAGGCCGAGCGGCGGCCGCTTTCGTGTACGCGCCGCTCTTTTTCCGTGCGCACTTCACACCGACACGGCGGTTTGCGATTGACCAGAAACCGCCAGTGCACGACCGGCGGCAGGATGTGAGCGCGGCCGGGGGCAGAGAGCGGCGCCGGGGCCGTGCCGGGGGCAGCGGGACCCGTTTGCGCTTCGCCGGCGGTCGCGCCGTTCCGTAGCGCCGTCCCAGCGGCCGCCGGCCCTCCCGCACCCGGCGGGGCTGCGCTGCGCTGCGCGGCGGCGCCGAGCGAAAAGGAGAACCGCGCTGCGCTGCACCGGCACAGGAAGCGCCGCAGCCGCCCTGCGGAGCCCGGCCTCGTCGCTTCGCACGTCGCAGCCCCGCGCCCCGGCGCCGGGATGCTCGGCGCCCGCCCGGCCCCGAGGAGTCCGGCGCGATGGAGGCGGCCGTGAGCGGCAGGTAGGCGGGTGACCCCGGGTGGGTGACAGCGGGAAGTGCGGGCTCAGCCCGCGGGGTCGGGTCGCGGAGCGGCTCTGGCCGTGCCTCCCCACGGGCGAGGAGCCCACGCGCGGTGCTGCGCGCAGAAGGGAAGCGCGGCCGCCCCGCTCCGCTCGGCGCTGGCGGCTCGGAGCACCGTGCGCCCCAGCGTCCCAGGGGATCCCGGGAGGGGGTGGGGTGGCGACGTGGGCCGCCCGTCCCCGGAGCCCCCCGCCCGCCGCGGCCGCAGCTCCCCAGGGCCGCCCGGGGCCGAGGCCGTTTCCTCGAAGGGCTCTCGGGGGAGTCGGCCCCGTCCCGGGGCTCCGCGTGCCCCGCCCGGCTCGGAGCCGCTGTGCCGCGGATGGGACGCTGACGCCGCTCCGGGATGGGAGCCCGCAGCCCTCAGCCTGATGTGGGCACCGCGGTGTGCGTGGCTGCGGGTCCCGGCCCCTCTGCCCTCCGCCACGGACGGGTCGGGCCGGGCCGAGCCCCGTCCTTCCCTTCCAGCCGGTGGGGCCCACGGGCGGTGGCCGGGGCTGCGTGCTGACCCCGCAGCGCGGCGAGGGATGGGGATCCTGCCCAGCCGGGAGAAGCCGCTCAGCGCCGCACCGTCGGCCGCCGTCCCCGCGCCGTCCCCGCTGCCCACACAGGCAGCCCCGGGCGGATTCCAGGCGCTGGCTCTGTGTGATTTCCCCTCCGGCGCGGGCGCGACCGCTGTGCTGAGGATGGGCGAGCAGCTCCGCGTCCTCTCTGAGTAAGTCCCGCACCCAGCGGGCACTGCTGGCACCCGTCCCCGTGTACGTAGGGATCCCCTCCTCGCAGCCGCGGGACATCGCGTCCCCCTTCCCTGCAGGGACGGGGAGTGGTGGCTGGTGGCATCCCAGGTGTCCGGCAAGGAGTGCCTCATCCCCAGCAGCTGCGTGGCCAAAGTGCGGCACAGGTGGGTGCAGCCCAGGGTGACACGTGGGGGGCTCAGCCGGGACACCCCAAACTCGTGGGTTGTCCCAAGGACAAACAGCAGCTGCTACACCTGTGCCTCCAGGCCCATTGCTGGCATTGGAGCTGAGCTCGGGAATGTGATAATGGTGTCCCAGTCCCAGTGCCCACAGCTGAAGCCCGGTGCCACACAGCCCATGGGCATTTCTGTGGGGCCGCCTGCCTGTCCCTTGTCTCTGTCCCCATCCCCATCCCCGGGACAGGAGTTTGCATCAGCTCTGCCACTGCCCGCTGCCGTGCAGGTGGCTGTATGAGGGCGTGAGTCGGGAGAAAGCGGAGGAGCTGCTGCTGCAGCCAGGCAACCACAGCGGAGCCTTCCTGATCCGTGAGAGTCAGACGCGGAGAGGTGAGCACGGCCCCGCAGTGCCAGGGACAGGAAACCACAGGGTGAGTGGAATTGGGCACAGGCAGGATCTGTGGGATGGAGGACAGGACAGGACAGCAGCATCCAGCAGCACCACTGCACACAGGACAGAGCTGGGCCACTGAGAACACCCCAGAACCCGTGCAAGGTGCTGCCAGGGCCCATCCCTGTGCCCCTCCACACCGTGCGCTAAGAACCAGCCCCAGTGCGGGGCTGCTCTGCCACACCTGGTGGCACTGGGCTGCCCTGCACAGCCGCTTCCTGCTGCCGCTGCTCTGCACCCCCTCCTCCACCAAAGGGCCCCAACAACCCAACAAACCAGCTTCCTGCAGCTGCTGGTTAAGCAGAGGCTCAGTCTCAGAGATGAAAGGGGCCCTGCTCGTAGCACGGAGCCCCACAGCAACCATAAGGGGACCCCGCTGGGCACCCCCCATGCCGAACCCTTCTCCTGGCAGCCCTGCCGTGCTGCACTCCCACTGCTGCCGTCCTGGTGCCTTGGGAGGGGAGCACTGGACAGTGCCCATCCTGGCAGCCCCACGTCCCCGAGGTGTGGGTGCTCTCACTGACAGAAGTGAGGCTGTTGGAGCCGGAGGCTGAGTGGGGCTGCAGGCAGCTCAGCCCCCTGCCCCCCACAGGCGGTTTCTCACTGTCGGTGCGGCGCACTGAGCTCGCCTCATGGGATGCAGTCACGCATTACCGCATCCACCGCCTGGAGAACGGCTGGCTCTACATCTCACCACGCCTCACCTTCCCCAGCCTGCACGACCTCGTGGACCACTACAGCGGTAAGGAGCAGCAGAGGTCGGCCCAAGCCCCGCGCCGGCCATGGTGCCGCAGGTCGGTGCAGCACCGCGCTGACGCTGCCGTCCCCGCGCAGAGTGTGGGGAGGGTCTGTGCTGCACCCTCAGGGAGCCCTGCGTCATGGAGGTGGCAAAGGCAGTGCCTGCCCTGGTCCGGCCCGCCGTGGTGCAGAAGCCAACGCTCAACTGGAACAAGATTGACAGGTGGGGGCAGCTGCCTGCGGTGCCCCTGGGGCTGGGCACCGTTTGCTGACCACCCCATCTGCCCCACAGCTCCGTCCTGCTCTCAGAGGCTGTGCCACCTCCAGGGGAGGGGGATGAGGACTCCCCCATCAGCCTGGGCCTGCGGGAAGCCATCAGCTCCTACCTGCTACTGACCGATGGTGTGGATCCAGAGACTGACCCTGTGGGGAAGGGGGCAAAGAGCAGCTGAGAGCACAGCCACCACAGCCCCCGGGATGGGCACCCAGGCCTGCCCCACTGTGGGCTGCTGGGCCCTGAGCAGCACCCAGAGGGCACAGGCTGTGGCCCTGTAGTGAGGGCACACGCCTGGTGGTAGCCACACTGGCAGTGGTGCAGCTGCTGCAGGAGCTGGGACAGAGCCCAGGGCTGCAGGCTGAGCCCATGCAGAGGCACAGCCCCACAGCACCTACACGTGGGGCTCCGTCAGCACAGAGCCTGGGCCCCCAGAGCCCCTCGGCACGACTGGAGCAGCTCTGCCCCACAGCAGTGGCAGGAAGCCACCCTTACCTCACCCCACAGAGGCATTTAAAGCTTTAACTCATCCATTAAACAGGATCATGCAGGGCACACAGCAACACCTGTTTGTAATGTCTTAATTAGGGGCTTTAGGGGGATAACTTCAGCACCACTGCACTGAGGCACACAGAGCAGCCCTGCAGCTCAAGCAGCCTTTGCTATAACCAAAACTCTGTGGGAGGACCAACACAACTTGAGGACCATGTGGGAGAAGGGACAGCTCAGCAGTGCCACACCAAACCCCAGCAGTGGTGTAAACACATCAGAGCAGTGCCATGGCTGACAGCAGCCCCTCATTGCGCACAGCAGTGGCACAGAGCCTGGAAACCTCTGCTGCACCCTTTCAGAGCTCACAGAGGCTGCTGTGGCAGCACCCGACCCATTTCCTGCCCCCGACACGCTCTGCTCTCTCCATTTTCATGTCTCACTGCTGGGCTAAGGCAGCCCAGCGCACTCTCTCGGTTCCCCAGGTGCAGCCACATGCAGGGGTTGCCCGGAGGCCCCGCTCAACTCCACCCCTCTACCCCCCTATCTGCTGCCATCACCCCTCTGGGACAGAAATCTCAATCTCCCCCACCCCCCTACATTTTAAATACCTAAAAGGAACACTGTAGGCAGAGGAGCTGTCACTGCACACGGCTCATCGTTCACACAGCAGCAGCAGGCTTTCCAGATGCCATTTGAGTGGTTTGGACCACAGACACAAACAAAGCCAAAGTTATTTTATTGAATCATTAATTGAAACAAAGACATCGCTAAGACTTAACCAACAAAAACCTATTTATTTATTCCAAACACCAAGATACAGAAGTTTTCAAGTTTCGCAAATATTGCTCCAAAGCAAAATCCTATATACAGCGCCCTCAGTTCTAATAGTGCATAAACAAAGACAAATACGTATCCACAGTGCAATGTTTGCTCATTTCATCAAGGCTCCACGTTGCATTCACTTACCAGTGATTTAAAGAACACAAAAGTGACCTGCCAGACCCAACAGTTGGCCCAGGCTACGAAATAACGATGCGGAAACTTACAGAAACAGGGACAAAATGAATCCAAAGCACAATAAAGAACCTTTCCTGAACATGAGAAATGCTAGTCTAGTTTAAATAAATACTTTCAGTCTTTATCTGCAAGGGCTTCTTCCCTGGCTGTGCTGCCAGCCCAGGATCTGCCACCTCACGCAGCCACCAGAACAGCCCCCTTTCTCCCCCACCTCCTCAGCACTGCCCTGAGCAAAATCCAACCGGCGCAGCCAACACTCAAAGTGAATGCACAGAAAGCAGTCGCTGGGAAAGAAGTTCAGCTCTGAGGAGAACGGGCAGCTCAGGAACTGCTGCCACGCCTCCAAGCACAGCCGTGGTGCTGCAGTGATGCTCATCCCACCAGACCCCGTGGGAGCGCCTGCTGCAGGTCTCATAGAGTTCCCCTTCCTGGCCCTTCTCCTGACAGCCCCACACCCTCACAGCTGCCCGCAGCCCTCCTGCCCACACCATGCTGCTGGGCTGCCCTGCCCCATGGCGGCCGTGAGCTGGGGGTCACAGCAGCAGTGAGACAGCCCAGCACGTGCTCATCTTCAAAGGGTGAAGTGGGTCCTCAATGCCACGTAAGCCTCATTCTAACCGTGTTACAGAGAAGTTTGTTTTCCTGCTGTACGTACGTTGTGCCCATTACGTACCAGCTCGTACTATGAAACAGACTAACTATTCTCTGAAATGACTCTTTGCACAAAGCCGCAGTGACTACCTAGAGAAGCCCTGTTACTTCATCTTTGCAGGGACTGATTAAAACACTCCCTGTGTAGATAATGTTACAATTATTATTGTAGGAGTTTCTATAGTAAATCATTACCATCTGCAGTAAGCGAGCAGGATGGGCTCAGTGCAGCTCCAATCCCACCCTCAGCAGCACTGTCACACAATGCAGCTCTCTTAGGATGCCCTCTCCATGGAAAAACACCTTCACCATTCTGTATGGTGACCCCAGCTGTGGTAGGAAGGAAAGTGAAGCTGCAGTGCTGCTGACGGAGTGCTGATCCACAGCAGAAAGGCTCTCGACACCTCTGATACAGCACAGCACTGCCTCAAGGACTGCACAGCGCACCTGAATCCACGCAGCACCTTCACCTGGCTTCACAGAGTAATACAAACCAGGACATTAAAACGTAAGGTAGAAAAGGGAACTCGTGAACACACACTGTTAAGATAACAACCCACTCACTGCCTCTCAGGACAGTACCTCATGCATAGATCGAGGCTTTATTTACACAAATACAAAACAAACTGATTCCCAAAACCGCACATTCATAGTAAGTCTTTACAGTGAACACGTCCCGAGTGTTGGAAAAAGTCTACATTTCAAAATAGAACCGGAATGGCAACTATTAACAAATGGGAGAAGGCCACACAACGCCACTGCAGCCCCTCCTCCCCTGCAGAGCAGCACAGCCCCACGGCACCGAGCTCAGCAGGAGGCTCAGCCCCAGCACTGTGTGAGTGACACGGTCAGAATGTGAAACAATCATTTATCCTGAATGTGAGTGCAGTGCACTGCAGCCTTCTGCTGTGACAGATGCTGGCTGGGCTCCTGGCAGCCCTCCACGTGGCAGCCCAAAGCTGGGAGCCGGGCATTCATACTTACTAGGTCTGAAAAACGTTATAACATTTCCTAATGATTAAATACAGTGTGCATTACGCATAAACCAGAAGGAATAAAACATGACACAAGTCACTGAAACTATGCAAAGTTATTTACAACCTCTGTCAACTGAACATTTTTGGCTCTTAGAACTCTGTTCTTCAGTGGCACAACTTTAGTCAATTTAATTATGAGAAGTCTACCGCTTCCACGAGCAACTTGTGAGGAGTGAAAATTTGAGTATAATTTAATCAACCAACACCAACCTTTGAAGACAACAGTATTAACCTCTTCCATATCGTTACAATTGCCCAATAGCCCCGGAATTATGAGATAAAATAACCTTTTGGCCGTTCTTTGAGCAGCGCCTCTTCACAAATCCCTGAAGTCAATCTGCATCACATGCAACCAGCATGCTAACTTCATTTAAATACACAGAGCTCTCCACGTCGGACGCTCCAACGCCGCGCTTTCTGCAGTCCCAGCACTCCTGGTCTCACGTGGAGCAGCACAGCGCGATCTGCTGCACCTTGCTGAGGTCCGTGATCAGCTGCTTTATGCAGTGCTTGAGCTGCGGGAGGCGGGCGAGCGGCTCGGGTGGCTCCAACTCCCCCGTGTAATCCAGCCAGCTCTCCAAAACTGCCAAGAGAAACAGAAGGGGCACTCCTTCAGTTCTCAGATAGGTTGCTCTGAGCCACAGAATGAGTTCTTTACATCCATCATCAATCTTGAGAAACGTAGGCAAAGATTTAACAGCGCTGAGATGCCACATTGACTCCTCATCATTAGGAAGAGCTTTTGATACTAAACAACCAATTCAACATTTAAGGGAAGTTTTAGAGGACAAAACTCAGATGTTCCCAGGAGAAAGTAGTGAGAGACAACAGCACGTGGTGCTAGGAAGATCACACTATTGGAATGCCTTACGATGGGGTCTTAAAAGAACTGACTGGTAAATAAAGAATTGTAATCTCTGAGGCAATCAACTCCAGTGCAGACACCTTCTGCAGGGAAGCAGGGGACGCGGTGTAAAAGGAGGGTCCTGAAATCAAGGAGCACCCAGGGCAGGAGGGGTTGGAAGCTATTGCAGAAATGTGGTAGGACAAACTGCACAGCTGGAGCACCAAGATGGAGGGCTACAAGCTTTATAGAAGAGAAAGGCAGGGCAGGAGGGGCAAGGGAGCTGCCCTCCATGCTAAGAGGTGGGCAGACTGCAAAGAGCTGCCTCTGAGGAACAGCCATACTCAGGTCAAGAGTTTGTGGGTTAAAAACCAGGAGCTCAAAGGACATCTGGCAGTTGGGTCAACTATGGGTACCCGATCAGATGGAGCATGAGGATAAAGCCTTCTTGCTTCAGTTAAAACAGGCATCACACTTTTTCAGTCTCTCATCCCAATGAGAGATTTCAACCACCCGGTGCCTCTGCTGGGAAAGCAGCAAGCAATCCAGGAGACTCCTAGGGTGCCTGTAGGATAACCTCCTGGTCCAGGTATTGGACAGACCAATCAGTGCTGAAGCACTACTAGATCTGGTGCTCACCAGTGTAAAATAAATCATTAATGAGGTTCAGATTAGAGTTTGCCTGGGCTGCAGCAATCACAGTGTGAGGGAATTCAAGATCTCAAGGAATACGGGCCTGGCAAGAAGTAAAGACAGGGCTCTGAACTTCAGAAGATCCAGCTTCCAGTTGTTTAAAGAATTATTGGATGAGATCCCCTGGGAAGCTGTCCTCAGGGGCAGAGGAGCTGAGCAGAGCTGGCATCTCTTAAGGATGCCTGCCTGAGAGCACAAGAGCTCTCCATCCCCCAGCCTAGGGAATCAGGCAGAGGAGGCAGGAAACCAGCACAGCTGAGCAGGGACACACTGCTCAAAGTGAGGGGTAAGAAGGAAATGTACAGGCAGTAGAAGCAGAGAGGTGTGCTGGGCAGAGTACAGGGTTGTCGTCTGGATGAACAGAGATAGAATGAGCAAAGTCAAGGCAAAGATGAAACTGCATTTGGTGAGGGATGTGAAAAATAAGGCAGTAAACTGGTCAGAAGAGTGAGGCCAAGGAGAGCATGTCCCTTCTACCCACACCCTCCAATAAAAGGGAGAACTGTCTACAATAGACCAGGAAAACATTGGAGAGGCCATATAGAAGAGGCTAGAACAGCCAGCAAGCCCCAAAGAACAGCAAAGCTTGGAGACACAAAAGCACTATGGAAAATGACAACAAAAACAAGATATGAAAGACATTCCACTACATCATCTGATGCAAGTATTCAGAGATGATGCAAGCAGGATTTTTTATTTGAATTAAATTATTCATGGTATAACTTGATCTTCAATGTTGTTTTCAAACCTTCCAAGCACCACAAGTGTCTGCTTTCTATTACCCAATGCAGTACATCTCACAGCTTAATGCTCATCACTCTTTAGATCTGCAGAAGAAAACCTACAGCCAGCATGTTTTGAACAAAATGCAGGGTTTTTTTAAACGGAAAAATGCTACCTACCATCTAGCTCCTTCTCAATGAAATCCATTCTGTGTATGACTTCATCTTGCAGAGATTCCACATGAGCTAAAAGATTGAGCTGCCACTGCAGCTGTGAGTTCACAACTCCTTCTTTGTCCTTTTCCAGCAGTTTCATTTCAATAGCTTCCTCCGGAGAGGCTTTCTTAGATGCAGGCTCTCTTACCTGGCAGAAATACAAATGTCAATATTTGTAAGTGATGTAGAATTGGTGAGACAGGCTGTTTGGGTCCCCGCAGTGACCCAAGCTAATGGCTTCACAAATTTTAGGCTAGCAGGAGACAGAAAGAAAAGAGTATAGAAATGTGAAGGCAGTGTAGGCAAAAGCAGATCAACAACAGACCCTCATGGTGGTTTTATTAAGACCTCATCTCTGCAGCTTCTCCAGCACCTTATTCTGGGAAGATAACACTGAGCTGTAAAGGATACTTGCAGCTCACTTCCTGCAAACTTCCTGCTGGAAAACGCTGCACTAAATATTTGTGTGTCCAGGAGAACACCACAAATTTTCCTTTAAACACAGAATCAGAATCACAGAAACACCAAGGTTGGAAAAGACCTACAAGATCATCCAGTCCAACCACCCACCTATCACCAACAGTACTCACTGAACCACGTTCCTCAACACAAAACCCAAACGTTCCTTGAACACCTCCAGGCTCAGGGACTCCACCACCTCCCTGGGCAGCCCATTTCCTTTCAGAGAAGTAGTATTTCGTAACACCCAGCCTAAACCTCCCCTGGCGCAGCTTGAAGCCATTCCCTCTAGTTCTATCACTGTTACACGAGAGAAAAGGCTGACCCCAGCTCACTACAACCTCCCCTCAGGTAGTTATAGAGAGCAATAAGGTCTCCCCTGAGCCTCCTCTTCTCCAGACTGAACAATCCCAGCTCCCTCAGCCGCTCCTCATAAGGCCTGTGCTCCAGACCCCTCACCAGCTTTGTTGCCCTTCTTTGAACACGCTCCAGGGCCTCAGTGTCTTTCTTGCAGTGAGGGGCCCAGAACTGGACACAGCACTCAAGGTGCGGCCTCACCAGAGCTGAGTGGGACAATTACTTCCCTGCTCCTGCTGATGACACCATTTCTGATGCAAGCCAGGATACCATTGGCCTTCTTGGCCACCTGGGCACACTGCTGGCTCACATTCAGCCCAGTGTTGACCAACACCCCCAGGTCGGTTTCTTCTGCAGTCTTCCAGCCACTCTGCCCCAAGCCTGCCTAGATCTGTTGTGGCCAAAGTGCAGGACCTGGCATTTGGTCTTGTTGAACCCCATCCCATTGGCTTCAGCCCAGCGATCCAGCCTGTCCAGATCCCTCTGTGGGGCCTCACTATCCAAAGGCAGATCCACACATCCAGCCAACGTGGTGTCATCTGCAAACTTACTGAGGGTGCACTCACTCAATGCCCTCATCCAGGTCATCAATAAAGATATTGAAGAGCACCAACCCCCAGGGAACACCACCACTCATGACAGGCCTCCAGCTGGATTTAGCTCCATTCACAACCACTCTCTGGGCAAAGCCCTCCAGCCAGTTCCTTATCCAGCCAACAGTGTACCTGCCCAAGCCACCTGTCCAAACACAACAGTAACCAAGCAAAGAGAAAGCTGTGCTACAGCAAGGAGGGGCTCTTCCTGAAGGAATCTAGTCTCAATTCTTCTGTAACTTCCATCAAAACACCCAGACAACTGAAAAAGCCTGACTGCACTGTGTCAGCAGATCATTCTTCCCATGCTTTCTTCCATCATTTTTCTGAGATGTGACAGGATTTAGAAAAAGACTCCTAAGAGATCAAAACACTGAAACATGTCTTTCTGGGAAACAAAAAGCCATCCCAATGGATTTGACAGAGAAATCAGAGAGAACATGATTTACATGTTCTTTTGAAATAAAATAAAAGCTAAACAGACTCTCTTCCAAAAACCAGGGAGGTCAGTACTTCCCGAGGCCCTCCAACATTTGACAGACTGTATTTCATGACCTGACAGCACCTTAGAGAAGCCCATCTGCACACTGCAATGCAGAGAGGCCTCTGCTACAAGTTTGCTAGCCCTAATGGAGCTGAAATTTTAACTGATCGTGAGAAGCAGAAATCTAGAGTGCTTCAGCAGGAAAAGAACTGAACTATTCAGTGATGATTATTCCTAACCATCACTACAAGTTCCTTATTTACACATTGCCTGAAGAACGTGCAATCAATTTAATTAACGTAATTATTAAATAAATGCAAGAACAAGCTGGTAATAACCAAAAGCTACAACAGCAATGTGTTTGAGAGTACCATATGTGCTTGCCATGCTCTCTCCCTAGAGTTTATCTGCACTGTCTAACACAGACAAGTAAGGAGCAACAAAGTGTTGGTAGACCACAGTGCACATTCCATAGACTGTACAGATGATTTAAAACCCAAAAGTCAACTTTTGGGATGAAATGGTGGAGATGATTACATCTATTATTTGAATGTGTACCAGCAGCCTAAATTTAGCATTGTGACAGGAAAAATGAAACAGATAAATTAAATACCATTAAAAGGGCTAATGAGTTGTGCACTTTGCCAGACAAACACATTCTCTCTGCAGAGAGGGTTATTTAATATAGATACCTTGGAGTAATTGTGTTTGGATTCATTTTCCATTTTACATATTTCTCGGTCCAGATTCCAGCCGAGCCTCTCCGACAGGACGTCATCCCCATTTTCCCTTATTCTATTTACACCCTCATCCATGGCTGCACCTCTTGTTTCCACCACCAGCCTCTGCTCTATAGCAGGGTAGTAGGCCCGAGGTTTCTGGTAACAGTGTTCACTCGTGATGTAAGATTCCTCCACAGAAGGAATGGCTGAGGGTTTCTCAGCTGTCCCATTCCAAGTTCTATAACTCGTTGTCTCCTCTTTGCAACAGTTTTCTTCAATGTGAATGATGTGTTTCGTATGGATTTTTTCATCCACCGTAATGTGCTTCCACGGATGGCACCAGAGCTTTAGGTCAGGATGTTCTTTATTTCTGTTCAAACACAAAAGTAGTCAGACATCCACCAAACTTAAAATGACTGAGTAGGCTGTATTACCATGTAAAGAAATCAAGCAAGAACACCTGCAAAACTACACACTTCAGTCATCAGTATCAACAAAAATACGCAATAAGATGAAATGAGATGATTTCCCTGACCTCCACTGTGCATCATCAGTGCTGTTAGGTTCATTATTTTCATTTCTCTAACACGGTACGTGAAGAAAGTGTTGGCATGAAGGAAAGGGTAAAGAATGAAACTTCAAAGATGTGAATGTAAGATTTCACCAACGTTGCCCTCAAAGGCAGAGATTTGCCTCCTTATTTGTAATTTGATAACAGCATTAACTCATTTTCACAGGGACAGCTTTAGAAGTGTTTTAAAAAGGCAAGTCAAGAATGCTCAAATTAAAATCTATTAATATAAAGTGTATTTCTATACCAGTGAAGCAAGACCCCCTCCAATCACTCACTTTCAGATTTTTGCCTGCAGTTGCCCCCAAAGCTTCAGAATTCAATCAGCTGATTTTGTATAACCCTCAAATAATAACAGTGGCAGACTCAGGGTGGGTGTAGTAGTACTTCATCAGTTCCTTCACATCTAACTTCCCTTTAAACACCCATGGGATTACTGGGAGAAGTATCACCTGATATGCCAACATGTCACAGTCCCCCCAGCTGCCCTTTATAAAAATTCTCATTTTCCTTGTATTCAAGTTGACTTATATGGAATCTCTTTTGAGCATTATTTATTCCATCAGCAGGGACAACTATAGCCATCAGATTATTACACACAAATAACAAACAACATTTGTTTGTTGTCACACCCTTGGTGAAGTACCCTGAATGCACTTCTAGAAAAGGCAAAGCCAAGTGCTCACTCACCAGAGCTTTCTGCTCCAGCTCCAGACATTCTGCACCTAAAGGCTTTCTTTGCTGAGCAAAGCAGCAAGGGATTCTTTGCACAAGGCAGAATGCTGGCAGATGACACAGCAGCTACCCAAGTGTACTTGGGTATGCCAAGAAGCTACTATCTTCTTGGCATTCTGGTGGGAGTAATTTTCTTCCAAGAATGCTGAATGCCTGAGCTCCCTTCTGAGGGCTGCACCAAACCTGCCACAGTGCCTCTGATCCCATGCAACCTGCTTGAAATACTGAGCAACACCCTCCTCGTGACTGTGAGATCATCTCTCCCAGACTGGTTATATTGCTGATGCAGATCTACATTCTTCTAATTCAGTGATTTAAATTTTTTTTTAAAAAATCCTCTTTGATTTATGCAATGATAAAAAAATCTGGGGCTGCAGTCTCCAGCAAGGAATACCATCTTTAAGGGAACCAGACCATACAACAACTTCAGGGTGGGAATGGAAAAGTGACAAAGCCTGTAACAACAATCACATATCTGTCCAGTGCTCCAGACCACAACACTAGGCAAATCTCAATTGACAAATGAAAATCACAGTCTAAAGCACTGCTATTTAAGAATAAAAGGCTTACAGACTGGTCTTAAGATATTTATGCTCCAGTCAACCCAAGACAAAGGTAATTCCAGATCTGACTTAAGGACACCTCAGCAGAAAAGCAAAACCTCATATTACAACTGGCACCTTCTTGCTTTAAGCATTCAAAATACTGTCAGTGGCAACACCACAGATTAAACTTAAGGAAAAAAAAGACTAAAGAGAGTGGAAACACTCCAAGCTTTGTTTTCTAAGTAGCTGCCGTTGAGCAAATTATCAATGAATAGATTATAAATGCTATTCAATCAATCTGAAACTGCTAGATGTGGATTAGAAAAAACCTCTCAGTCATCAGAACCAAGGGCAACCTCAAACAGAAAACTATTGATTTCCACAGGGATTATGAACAACATTGGTGCTGTTTTTTGTTTCTAGTGTACCATGTTTGCACAGAACTGAGATACTACAGATTGTTGAAGGTACAACTGCTCTTCTTCTACAGGGCAACAAATTATGCTAAAAGAGACATAATTTCTACTCAAACAGCTAAGATTTAAAATTATTGGATAGAGAACTAAGTGTTTTAAGAACATTGCCATGGTTATACGCTGTGCTCTATTTCAGTGCTTTAGGAAAAGGTGCTGTTAGTTTTTTGTTTTCCCAACTCTTCTTCACACAGTCAGTTTACACTCCCCACCACACTTATCCAACACAACAATAGCAATTCAAACAACAGTGATGTACATCTGCAGAGAAACACAAGTCTGAATTTCTTGTTATTTTTCTACTACTTGAGATCTAATTCACGTTGAAACACTGCTTACTTCAATATGCTCATCTTCAGCTGCAGTCCATGCAGTACTTCTATCACTCTCTGCACATCACCAAGAAGCTGGTGAGTGGCTACTATCTTCTTGGCATTCTGGTGGGAGTAATTTTCTTCCAAGAACGCTAAGCCATGCATGTGGCCATTGCTCAACCACTCCTTCTCATACCAGTACTTTAAGCTGGACCTCTGACCTAAAGCAACAGTAATGAGCGTGTTAAAATGCAGCATTAACTACAGCACATTAACATTACTGGTAGTAACTGTGATTATCTGTCTTGCAGCAGCCTACTAGCTCTTATCAGCAGCACTAATAACGATCTCATGACAGCAGACAAAACTTTGGAGATGTAAGAACTTGTACGTGGGAAGCAAAATGGTACCTCAGTCAAGAAAATCTTGGCCCAGCTGTAAAAGCCAGGGGCATTCAGACTCTGATTCCCACAGCACATCCACAATAAGCACGTGCAGCTGATGTACAGAGAAATGTATGATTGTAGCAGGGTATCCTTGATTATAACTACAGCCAGCCTGGATACAGCTTTGCAGACAGAAATGCCACGAGAGACAATCGGTCTTTCTTTACCAGTTTTGTGCACATATTAATACATTCACTCAGATGTAAATTTTAGAGGAATCACTAATGCGTTGGTGAAGAATTTGCCAATATTAAACTATTAATAATGTTAATTCCAGCTTAAAGGTCAGATTATCAACAACAGCTGAAATGAAATTGTTAAATGGCAAGTGCATGAGTAAAAGAAATTGAAGGAGAGCAAAGAACTTATTAACTGATTAATTTATAAGAAACAAGTAAATAAAAATGAAAATAAAGACAACTATCAAGAGCTCAACCTCCCCCATCTCTGCACTGTGCTGCTGCAGAAGATGTTTTCAGGTGACAGTTCAGTGCCCTGAGAACATCCCATTCACTGCCCCAGCCACAGCATCTACGAAGCCAGAGATGTTGCAGAAGTCAGAACCATATGCACAGAAGTCTCCAGTACAAGCAGGTTAATATTAGAAAATGGCAGCAGTCAGGGGGTTGTTGGGAAAAAAAAAAAGTCACTGGGTAGCAGGATGAAACCAGGGGATTGCACTACCTACCCACTGGGAAGCATCACTGGCTGTGCTGTTACCCAGAGCACAGTGAAACAACAAAACTCTGGATACCTGAGAAATTACTCATAGTTGTTTACATCTCTTCTGGCAGGTAATTAAAAATAGCAACAAAATGGTATCTGTATCATGTCTGATATACAGATCCATGGATATAAAGGAAACCCTACATTCACCCCCAGACCTCTGCCTTAAAGACAAATCCAAAGAGCATCTTGTGAGCACACAGCCACTGAGCAGCATAGTGGACAGTATTGGATGCTTTGAGGCAACACCTCCAAAAGGCCTCATTTTCTAGCAGAATTCCCGTGTTTATTTTTGTGTCACAAAAGCTCCCAGCTGCAAATGCACTTCAATCAAGAAGAATAAGCTCCTGAGTTTTAAAACTTCATGGTTATCTGAACAGCATGGAGGCTATCTGCTCTGCCTTGGCGGATGGAAAGCCAGACACATGCCAGCATCACATGCTCACAGCCTCAGAGGTCAACTGCAGCCTGGGCTGCACCAACAGAGGGGGCCAGCAGGCAGGGAAGGGACTGTCCCAATCTGCTCTGCCCCTGTGACAGCCTGTCTGCAGTGCTACGTCCAGTCCTGGGGCTGCTGGCACAAGAAAGATGTGGATCTGCTTGAGCAGGTCCAGAAAAGGCCACAAAGATGGCTGGAGCATCCCTGCAATGGAGACAGGCTGAGGGAGCTGGGGGTGTTCTGCCTGGAGAAGTGAGGGCTCTGGGGAAACCTCAGTGCAGCCGCTTCCAGTACTCGAGGGGAGCTTAGAAGAAGTCTGTCTCCCTCCTGTTTATGCAGTCTGATGGTGCCAGGACAAGAGGGATGGCCTTAAACTAAAAGAGGGGAGATTTAAGTTAAAAGCGAGGAGAAAATTCATTACTCAGAGAGCTGTAAGGCCCTGGCACTGCTGCCTAGAACAGTGTGAGAGCTCCATACCTGGGGGCATTTGAGGCCAGGCTGGATGGAGCCCTGGGCAGCCAGCCCACAGCAGAAGGGCAGAAGCTCTTCAAGGGTCTTTAAAGTTCCTTCCAACCCAGGCCATTCTATGATTCCACCCAACCAAAGCCTATTCATGACATCGTTTTTCATGACATCGTTTACTTGAGGGTGTACTTGTGGACACAGAATTCTCTCTCTTCCTGTGTAAATGCTCTAACAAGATGGAGAGATTTCTAACAATTTATGCTTCCTATTCCTTGAAAGCATCTATGATCTAACAAGCAATATTTTGGCTACGTTTAAGCAAGAGTAAATGTCAACTGAACACAAATCACTTAAAAATGCTACCTGGCTCAAAAAGAATCTAAAATGACATTATGCTTTTAGGCATAATTATACTAAGCTTTTACTGCTGACAATATGGGACTAAATGAGAAGTTTCTAAATAAGGCATTTACTCAATAATATACTTTTAAAATATAACTTAAAAATTTTCAGATTCATAAATTCTATCTGAGCTCATTTCAAGCTAAGGAAATGTTCACTGAAACTGAGAATCCACTTTGTAGCTTTCAGTCAAAATGTTGGACAAAATTTTTTACCTATTTTGGAAATCAAAAAAAAAATTTCAGGATCTTCAAAGCAAAAAAAAAGTGATTAAATTAGTTAAGCAAATTAAATGCTAGCTGCAGTTGATTTTCATTGGAAAGCATTCTGATGAAGTTCAAATGTGATGGCAAAACTTCAGCTTGCACATGACCTCAGCTGGGTCCAAAACTAGATCCAAAGTAAAGCATCCTGAAAGTAAGTGGTTAGAGCCCTGGGTGCAAAATACTGCATTAATGATTATAATAAATGCAACCTTAAAGATTATAAATTATTTGGCTAAGATAACTGTATGTAAGCATAGTGTCTTTTCTTTGCTATGAGTACAAATGATGTTAGTGCACAAACTCTGCTTAGCCACAAGCAAACAATTTAGGTGTCTGAAGAGTACGTAGTTGTCAAGAAAAGCAGTAGTCACTACCCAAATAAGCACCTAAACTCTGCATCCAACCCACTAGTTTAAAGGTTTGCTGCTTTCTTTTTGATATTTTAATAAAGCTGTAAATAACAAAACTTCTTTTTTTATTTATATACATTACCAATAGTGTATATTTTGTATACAGCCCAAGATATTCTCTTTCACTCAGGGCAGTCCAGGCAAGCCAAAAGCTTGGAGACCTCTGACATAAGCCAAGAGGCCTTGTGATGAGGCAGGCTGACAACCCAGGCATCCCATCATATGTGAGCATGGACACAAGCTCAAACCTCATGCATTTCCACACTCAGTGAGGTTTTATAACACACAGAAGGAAGCCAGAAACAACCCATGTCAAAAGGGCAGTTTTTATCTGCTGCATAAGATGAGCAGAGACATTTTAAACTATTCAGCTTCATGTATAGGAGTAGAAGATGCATTGCTTAATTAACTCTGACTGTACTACCCACGATTACTTCCATTTATATTTATAGATGTGCCTCTTCCAAACAAGCCAAGGACATCACAGCTGTTGAGACCTATTGCTGGTTTGTTTTAACCAGCACATAATCCTGGCCTCACTGGAAGAAAGCTGCAGTCATGTCCCTTAAGATGTGTCTACATTTTAATCATAAGGAGTTTTACTGAATTCTCCTGTGTGTTTTTTTAATTTGTTTTCTGTAGCCAGGCAGTAGAATCAACTTCAATTCTTATTACTGACAAATGTGACACAGATGGCCACAGTTAAACATTGATTTCCATTCCTGTCCAGCTGTAATTCCACAACACTGACTTGTGCATTCACATGAACTCAGTTACAGATTCATAAAGTTGAATTTCATTTCTGAAGAGACACAGCTAGTGAAGCAAAAAAGTTTAATCTTTCTAACAGGAGTATATAAACTAATAGTCACTACATACTTAAGAAGATTGCATAAGTTAAAAAATTTCTGTACCTGGAGGATCTTGGCAAATATAGCAGGTGTATTTCTCAGGTACATTATCTTCCAGTAAACCCATACAGACTCCATGCTGCCAGCACAGACACTCTTCACACTGTTAAAATCAAGAAGTGCACATCAGTGGAGCTCAATATGTCTACCTCAATTAAGAGATGCTCAACTAAGAGATGCATCATCTACACATGTTAAAACAACAAGGTATATCAGTGTCCTTTCCCTGGCAACTTCAAATCAATACATTAAAGAACCAGACTGCAATGCTATTACAGTCCTTCCCACATTTTTCACATGATTTATAGAGATGGGACAAATTATGCAGTCAAAGCAGAGATCCTGACAAGTACCAAAATGTTCCCTTTGGAGATGAAAACCTTTTAGGAGATGCATGCACATGTTATCAAGGACAGCAAACAACATAAAATTGAGCTTTATAAAAACATATCAAGTTTTCTAATTTAAATTTTTTGCCCTCAAACAACAAATTAACACACTTAACTGTAAAATCAAAGGGATATTCATGATACACAGAATTAGCCAACCCTGTGCTTCATTGTACCTCTAGCATTTTACCCGTTTCCACAAGGGCACTTTATTCATAGAGAAGAAAAAATCCTGAAGTTTTAAGAACTTTCTGATGTTTAGCCCTATGGGTAAAGGCTGAGTACACTTTGGCACTACTTTTTAGTGCAGTTACACTACTTAACTTGTAATCCTTGTACTTATATCTGCAGTTTCAAGGCAGGAACAACTACACCCACACATTCTGCTTCTGCCTTTTTTCCTCCCTCCTCTGGCCTTGACAAGCAGCCCAAACCATAACTGCAGCCTAAAGGCCAATAGAACATGAGACAAAACCACACATAAGAATATGAAGTCATTTTTAATTTGCAACTGTGTGGTGTTTATTTAGAGTTCCTCTTCCTATGAGCAGTGAAACTGTAGATTGTAATCTTGATATCATGGAGAACAAGCCAAAAGCTGAATGCAGAGACCATGGCTATATTAGCAAAAGTTTTCAAATGAGCTGAAGTGAAGAAATGGCAACCACAAGCAATATGAGAGGCTCCTCGACCTGCAAAACACCAGCTTGGTAAGCACCTCAGTTGTGTTGGCCAGCACCTAATTAATGCCCTCTCCTCATCTGCAGCATTTTCTCCAGCCAAGAGAGATGGGAAGGCACCACCAGCTTCTGCATATGTCATCTGCTTTAACTGAGCATGGAGGAAACTGGAGCACAGGAAACTGCCAGCAAGAAAAGACTTGTGAGAAATGGGACTATTAGTGTCTGGCCTTACAAAATGGAAAAGGGGATCTAAGGCAGGAAGACGTTTTCAGGAGAGATTCAGAGACCATCCCCTGTTCACAAAGTAAGACACATAGGAGCTAGAGAAAGCTGTCCTAGAAAGAAGAGAGACAAAGAAAACCAGCCTGCCTGCTACAAAACGAGAAGGGAGCTCCTGGACTGGTCACACCTGCGCCCTGTAAATCAGGCAGTGAAATACACAGCTCCCTCCTCTGTCTGCACATTTACCTCCTGCCTCAGCTGCTCTGGGTCCATGTCAATACCCCTGCCCAGGCAGCAGAAAGGAGATTTAAAAGCAAGCCAAGTAAGAAATTTTGAAGAGAAAAACATGCAGAAGTGAGCAATAACATTTGAGCTGAATTTCAAGCAAGAAAGAAATAACCAAGCCCAACAGAACATATATTTAAAGCAGCTTCTCAGCAACCAGAATATCCTGATTCTATTCACACCCATGTCCTCCAAAGGCACTGACACTGAGGCACAGAATTCTCTATCTTATACACACAAGTTCACTGATGTTTATGTACAAAAAGAAACAGAAGGGATGATGTCATTTTATCTGGTCTTTTTTTTGGGGGGGCCCCAAGTAGAATCTTAAAGATATAGTCCTGTGTTTTCCAAAGCAATAGAAGGCAAAGCAGCAAAACTACTACCCCCAGAGGAAGTTATGGAGACTAGAATGAAATCATAGTGATTGATAAATTAGATTATAAAAAATAAATCAATAAATCAAAAAACCACTTTGAAAACAGCTACTAAGTGAAACAGGTACTTGCTTTACAAAATCTATCTGTGCTTTTGCTAATGAACAATCTCTATGCAAAATTTGCTTGAGGTAACATAAGACAAGTTCAAGATATGGGAAGAGTATTTTATCAGTTATCTTAAGCTGAATTTACCAGGAGATTTACTATGAACTCGAAGCGATAAATGGAGCCAACTCTGCTTAACTGGGTGAAATCCAACCAAATGTTAAGGTTCCCCATCCTTCCAAGCAAATAAAAGATGCTGCCACTTGTTTTTTCTTCATTAATTCTTAATTGGGTACATTCATGAAAATAAGCTCAGTTCAAAGAGAAAATGAACTGTACTTCTTGTAAGGAGATACTACAATGCATCATGAGAAGGCTGAACCTCCAGTCACAAGCATGGATCAAGTGTTCTACTTCCTAATTTTGCTCTCAAGTCAAAGCAGTCTGGTTTATAGGTACATGCTCAAGCAGGTGCCCCAACCATCTGTTTTCTTTGGTGAGATCTCTATGGAGGAATGAGCAAGGACAGAAGAAACACCTCAACAGAAACAAGTGCAAAGACAATATTCTTCTAAAAACCCATACACTGAAATCGTGCATCTTTGGGAAGAGAAGACAAGCTAAATGCAAGCTGTGTTAGGGCAAACACTTCCAAACTAGCATTTCCAAGTATCAAAGTCTACAGGAAAGAGGGAAGAAAATCTTTCTTCCTTGCAAATCCACGATAACTGACATTTTCCTTTGACTTTCTGGGTACTTCCAGTACTTCACCTCTGAAAATGAGTTCCCCTCATCATAGTTCCACAGCTGCACATGAGAGGATCTTTTCCCTGTATTAATGATCCACAACTGAAGAGCCAACCCAAACATTTCCATACCAACAATTAAAACTGTTCAAACCTTTTCCCCCAAAACTACAGGCTGACCAGAAGGTATGGAGAGCACAGCACTCAGTACCTTAGGTTATCTGCATTGCTAGCCCTACAGCCTGTTAACAAGGTTTTTGCATCTCCTTGTTCCCATCCCTATCACTAATGCAGGTACTTGCCATGCTGCCCATCTGCATCTCTCTAAGATAATAACTGCTCTCCTAGATAGCTCTCCTATTACACAGAACGTGTAGTTTTTGTTTTTTAAAAATTAAAACCTTTGCAGTGTATTAAAAAAAAAAAACAACTGAACACCCAATTACTTAAGCCTAGAAAACTGATGCAAGCAGCAACTCACAAAACCTTACAAGGAAGCTATGCTTAGACTATGTTCTGACCCAGCTGACATTTCTCTGCATTTTCTAATTGTAGACCAGCACTGAGACTACTTCTGCTGGAATAATCACAGTCCAGCCCATGCCTTTCAACATCTCATAGAGCCATCTCCTCTAAAAGCAGCCAGCCTCCTGTTACGGCCAACAGCTTTCTGTCTCCTCTTCCTCTTCTACTCCCAGATGCCATTCACTCATTCTGAGCGCAGCCCATCACCACTCCCTTCCCAACCAGGGCACAAGGCACATCTCAGCATGCATCAGGGTCCAACACTAAAGCAAACCGTACATCAGAATGAACTAACCACTACAAGAAAGGTGTTGGACCTTCGTGGGCAACTCATCTATTAAACAGTACAAAAGACCAAAGAAAAGCACTCAAGTTAAGCTTGACTGCTGAGGATAGAACCCAAGCCCAGCTGCGTTAAGAAAATTGGAGAAAAGGCTGCTGATGTTCGGGACAGAACAGGTGTTTCTATACACCTGCAGTAGCCAACAATTCTTCACACTAAAACTAACCCAAGTAGTGCACACTCTCTGCCCTTACCAGGCTTCTGCCCCTACTCAAGCAACAAGGGCCACCAGAAATGAGCAGAGGCTGCAAGGCAGGCTGTGCCAGCTACTCCATTCCTCCTAGTTCTGAACATAAAAACTCAGCTCACTGCAATATGCTAACAGCTATCCCAGGAGCCTGTTTAACCCCCCTTCCATCAAGGGGGGTTAAACCTCACAAAAATTAACAATAGGATGCCTGGGGAAGTGAATACAAAACCTGCAGACTGGGTTTCATGTGCCTGACAAATAATTTTTAGCCCCACCTATAATTTCTAGCAATGTTATGTTTATAGTAAATAAACATGGCTCAGAAGTCAGCCTGCCTTCAAGGATACAACCAAGCTTTGGGAACAGAGCACCAAGGATTTCCACAGTTGTGAACAGAATAGTGCAAACTTCATTATTACTCTGTCAGGCAGTGCCCAAGAATGGCAATTGCTGCTTCCAGGACAATTCTCCAACAGAACTTCCACTAACAAGACATCTGAAGTATCTGCCTAGAAAACCAAAGAAGTGAAGAGCTGATGCTTTATGGGATACCACATTTGAATGCATCTCATCCAATGATGTTCACACACTGATAAGCCACTCACAATGCTCTGTGAAACACTGCTGTCACTGCTGCTTTGAGATAAAAAACTCACCTGCCATCAGTCTATGACAAGATCTACAGAGACAATCAGGTAATCCCCAAAGCATATAATCCAGACACTGTCATGAAACTTTCAAAAATAAACAAACACCTCAAAATAATCTCATAATTACCTTAAAATCTGCAGTGAGCCCACAGCTACGCTACTGTCACTTTGAACTGAGGTCCCACCATAAGAAAGAAGTATGGAAGCTTCCTGAAATAAAGCTCATTTCTTCAGAAGGGCAACTATGAAAAGCTCATTCAAGAGCATGAAATACCAAGTCCCTGCATGGCTTTTTTTTCCTGTATCTTCTAAGGCTTAAGAGGACTTTTTGAAGGAGACCACACAGCTCTTATGAGAAGAAGAAAAATAAACTGGAGCAAAAGGAGCTGAAATCAAATATACACCAAAACTGTGTTTGAGATGAATAGAAATTGGGTAGAATGACTAAGTGAGAGTAAACAGAGAGGTCAGTTTCAAAGAGACCTTTGATCACCAGTGTTAAGTGGTCAGACAACAGACACTGCTCTGGCTGGTGAGTTTTCTGTACACTCAATTTACAAAGAGTACAATGGACAGATGGCTTTATGCAGATTAGGAGCTACAAAAAACACTGCTGAATGGAAGAATGTGGTTTTGCTTCCAAAAAAACTCCACTCCACTAATTTAAAATGTATATTCTCTAAACCTAGGAAGTGTTCCAAGGTTGTTTTTTTTTTCTTGTAGATTTGCATTTTTCTAAAACAAAACACAAACACTAAATCCCAACAAGTGACAAAACCAACCACTAAAAACTTTCATAGATCTCCTCCAGCTTAACCACTTCCCTCAATAACAAAATCTGAACGTTTACCTGAATCATGAAGTCATTTTCTTCTTTTACTTCACAAATACACCGAACAATCTCAAAGTCACTTTCTTCAGCTTCTTCATCAGGATTTGTGGTTACATCAACATCCTGACTGCAGTCATCGTCGCTCCAAAGCAAGCTGTCCACAGATGACTCACTCATGGTGTCCTCCTCTATACAAAAAAATAATCAAATACCAGGTAGTTACAGAAAGGTCAAAAAACTCCCAAATAACCCTGGATATATAGACATGCATTTCTAAATGTGCCAGTTCATTTTTTAATTCAAGGAACATCAAATTTCTTTATTAACACTGGAACAGGTTGCCCAAGGAGGTTGTGGATGCCCCATCCCTGCAGGCATTCAAGGCCAGGCTGGATGTGGCTCTGGGCAGCCTGGGCTGCTGGTTGGCGACCTGCACATAGCAGGGGGTTGGAACTGGATGAGCATTGGGATCCTTTTCAACCCAGGCCATTCTAGAATTCTATGAAGTTCTATACCATCATTAATAGTTTGTTCAAAACAGGGTAAGTGTGGCAATTCCTGAGCTTTAAGAATAATAGGAGAGAAATGTGTCTTTTTTACTGCACTAATTTGTAACAGCAAATATCAAGACACTAAAAGATCATGAAATCTGGAATGCAGCCAGTTTTTGAGCTCAGTTTATAAATATTATGAGGTCACTAAGGTCTACTTGAGATTTTTTTTTTTTTTAAACATATTTCAGAAAGACATCAGAAAAGCATGCAGTCCTCATAAGAACAGCCAAAGAGCTATTTTACCATTCGTCTTTGATTTTCCTCGATGGTGTCCAGACTCAGAGCACTGCAGCTGTGTGCTTGGGTGGGCAGATGATTTATTTGAAGAAATACTTTTTGTGACAATTGATTTTTCAGGAGAAAGTTCCTGTGAAATATCTGTGTTTTCTTCACTAGCAGAGTACTCTGTAAAATTGTAAGTATTGTTGTTAGAAGTTTGTGGTCAAGGAAAAAAAACAGAAGAAAAACAACATCTAGTAACAGAATCGTAGGGGTTGGAACGGACCTCCAGAGATCATCGAGTCCAACCCCCTGCCAAAGCAGGATCCCTACACCAGGTCGCACAGGTAGGCGTCCAGGCGGGTCTTGAATATCTCCGGAGAAGGAGACTCCACCACCTCCCTGGGCAGCCTGTTCCAGTGCTCCGTCACCTCACCGTAAAGAAGTTCTTGCGCACATTTGTGCAGAACTTCCTATGCTGCTGGCCATTTCCCCTTGTCCTGTCTCCACACACTGCTGAAAACAGTCTGGCCTCGCCACTCTGCCCCCCACACCTTAGATATTTATAGACCTGGATCAGGTCCCCTCTCAGTCTTCTTTTCTTACGGCTAAACAGACCCAGATCACTCAGCCTTTCCTCATAGGGGAGATGCTCCAGGCCCTTCACCATCTTTGTGGCTCTCCGCTGGACTCTTTCCAAGAGATCCCTGTCTTTTTTGTACTGGGGAGCCCAGAACTGGACACAGTACTGCAGATGAGGCCTTACCAGGGCAGAGTAGAGGGGGAGGATCACCTTCCTTGACCTGCTGGCCACGCTCTTTTTAATGCACCCCAGAATGCCATTGGCCTTTTTGGCCACAAGGGCACACTGCTGGCTCATGGCCAACCTGTCGTCCACCAGGACACCCAGGTCCCTCTCCGCAGAGCTCCTCTCCAGCAGCTCATCCCCCAACCTGTACCGGTGCATGCAATTATTCCTCTCTAGATGCAAGACTCTACACTTGCTTTTGTTAAACCTCATCTGGTTACAACAGGCATGAATGATTCATGGAGCATCCACTTCAACATACCAGGACTCAAGGATTAACTATGCTGCTGAAAGACTCTTAACCAAGAGGCAAGAAAGACACCATATGAACCAATAAAAACCTTATACAGCTTAATCATCCTTCACTGATGTCAGAAAGGCTAAAGATTCTGGCTAAACCAAATCTAGCTATTCTGCAGACTGAATGTGTCTACAAATGCTCTTGTATTGCAACCACTTCTACACAAGCACTGCTGGCTGAAGACCTCTCCCTAACATCCCAGTTATTCACACACGTTTCCTTCCCAGTACCATGGGCTACAAAGGAGATTCTCTCTTCCTAGCCTACAGACAAAATGGGATATCTGACTAGAAAAGTCACAGTCATGAACATGCAGAGAAAACACCTAGAACAGCTTCTCTGAAGTACCAGCTTGCCACGTTCTGGCCCATACATCAAACCTGGCTGTGCACAGTGGGAGGCAGCACCCTCCATAAAAGCAACTTGTGGGAAGCCTGCAGGGTTCCTTCACTAAAGAACAAAGACATCAGCAAAACAGAAGGCTGCTCCAGCTGCAGTCACTGCATGCACCTCAACTTACTCTAGTAAGTGGAACTGTTAATAATCTGTATACTGAGAAAGGAAAAGAACCACAGAATCACAGAATGGCCGGGGTTGGAAGGGACCTCAAAGATTGTTTCCTTGTCCTAATGTTATCTACCCTTTCAAAGAGCTGACTCCCCTCCTGTTTATAGGCTCCCATTAGGTACTGAAAGGCTGCAATGAGGTCACATTAAGATGTTGCAGATTACTGATGAGATCTGACAAGAACAGATTAGAAATGGCAAACTGACCTTACTGTAGTTAGCTACTGAAAAGATCTTAGCATTGCTCCAAAACGCTCAGAAATAAGACATGCTGCACTTTTTGTACACTGAAATGGTGAACATACAGTTTGCAGAAGCTAAGACACAGCACCCAAGAATACAACTAGCCTCCACAGGTACCCCAATTCATCTGGTACAGACATCAGGGTCTTCTTACAAAGCTTGAGGGAGTCTTGAGAAGCCAACATGCTACATTTCAAAACCCAAGGAAAAAGGGACAAGCAGTTTCTTAGCATGCTTATTTGTAAAGTTATCGCGCAAAGTTCACGAATGAGGACTTGCAGAATACCTCATATCTGTAGGCACTGTGTCATCAAAAATTTAATAAAATTATTTATTTCAGTACAATCTAGTCATTCTAGTTCTCTTCCCCATTTATCTCATGACAGCTTGTCCAAGAAAAGTTAGGATGTGACAGGTTTAACAGAGCTCATTATCAAAATCTCTGAAAATGAGCAAAGATTTAAGCACTCAGAAGGCAAACAGTGAAAAAAAAAATGAGGACCCATCAGCATTTTCAAATCCCATCACTTGAACAGAAAACCTACGACTACCTCTCATATGTCAAAGTCTGGTACAAGGGGAACTCAGCAGTGAACCAAGGGAACCTGTACCTTCTATAACCGGGTTAATCCTGCATACAAGTATACTGAATAATGAAAGGCCAGACTTAGACTAGCACATTGATTGCAGAGTTAGATTTACTCTGTGCCATTATAAGTGCTTAATGATGCACCTCAATCAGGAAATAAATCATCTTGCCAATCACTATTTGATCTTAATTATTTCTTAATGACATGAAATCAGAACTAATTGATAAATGAAGGAGATGGTCTCATCTGTAATGCCATCTCTTATGAGCATGGAACTGGGTAACAGGCAAAAAGAAGATAACGAAGTATTTTCCTCTACAGAAGGAAAAAACTTTACCAGGCTTAGTCCTCTTTTTCTTTTTCTTCTTCTTCTTCGCCTTGGACCTTCCATAGTCCTTGGATTTTCTTTCTTTGTTCTTCTCATGTTCTTTAGCAGCTGAAATTAGACAACATTTCAATTTAATATTGAAGATGTATACACACCCATTGTGCTTACTAATTCTCTTAAAGGTTTCTTCAGTTAACCATGGCCAGTTCACTAGGAAAAAAACCAGCACAAAGTCTGCTCATAAGAACTGCCAGCCCCCAGAATTGGGCTGTTTGAAGTCCTAGGGTGATTCTCCCATAACTAAGTTACAACACCATGCAGAAGAAAACAAGTAGACAGTAATGCACCATTTACTAGTTATACAGAGAGGTCGAGCCCTTAGAAATTATTGGGGCATCTGCTATATCTCTTTTCTAAGCAATTCAAATTTGTAACTGAAAATCTTACTGCCGAACTTTTCAGTCGCTTTGTGACAGAAGTCTGACATAAGAACAAAAACTCAACTCCCCTTTCTCCCAACTCCAGTTCCTTAAATGTTGGGCTTCCATAGAAAAAACAGAACAAGAGATTCAGCTACTTATACCTCCCACTCAGTAATGATGAAAGAACAGTAGGCATAGCCAACTGAACCATCTGCAGCCCACACTATTTTTAAGGGAATAAAAATCAGTTTTTTGAACAATTAGGTGATAGCTTTCAATCAAGCCCAGCCACAAAGCATGTCTCCAGATCCTCTGCTGGAGGCAACTGCTGCCAGGCAATGCACACAAGTCTGTGCTACTTCCTGTCACTTGCTTCTAACTGCTTCCTTTCAAATGTAGCCCTCTGCAGCAGAATGTCTAGATACTTGCATAGTTCCTTAAATTAGTTATCCTAACACTGCCAAGACCACAAGTTGCAACCACACAGCGCCACGTGAGAGGATGCCTTCCATCTCTGCTCAGAGCACTCAGCCATCAGGCTGCTCGCCACCCCATCCAGAGAGCCATTTCATTTACTGCTCGCTGCTATCACAGTGAGCAGCTGAAGACACTCTTCTGTCAGAAATGCTCTCCCATGGATCTAGGAACCCAACTCAGGACACAAAACAACACCAGAGTATTACACTAACCTCCTATAATGCCCTGTTAGTAACCCCCTAACTCACAACGTAGGGCTGTATTGCTGTGGCGCAAGCAGCCCACCTTGAGAACCAGAATCCTCAGTGACATGTGGGTGATTGCCAGCTGTGATGAAACATGCAGGAGACAAAACATCAGCATCTCCTCAAAAGAGCTGTCAGATTTTATGACCCCTTTCTTTTAGGCCTTGCAAAGGCCTGTAATTTTGCTGCTCGTGTTCCTCGTTTTCCTGTTATTAACGAAGGCTGTTGAAGTTGCACACTGCCAGCAGCCACACACAGCAGCCTGTCATGCAGATCCCAGAGGAACAGGTTTGGCAGAGCTGAAAACAATTTTGATCTCCTTCCTGCAACGCATGGAGATTTTAGAGGAAGAAGTTCGTACGTATGCCCCAACAAACTTCCAGCTACACCTGGCTTCCCTTTGTCTCATCCCTCCTATTTTTCCAGGGCTTGGGAATCTCTGGGGACCATTTCCTTCTTGCAGCTCATATGCAGAGATGCAAGTAACTCTCATCATTTTATTCTTCTAGGAAAAGGACAATAACAGTAAGGTCAACACAGTAAGGAACATCCTGCACCCTTCCACTTGGAAATGGAAGACTGCATGGTCAGATCACCTGATCTGTTTCATGGCACATAAGAGGTCAAAGTATGCTTCTTCAATCACTCAACACATCAGCTGTAAGTGTGACCAAAAAAAAAAAAATACTCCTCAGTCTCATGCTTATTCCCCTTGAACTAGCCAGTATGGTCTTTAAAAAAACTGAAAAAAAAATCCAAATATTTGTGTATTTTGCCCCAAATCATTTCCTGTAAACATGTTGAATTCTAATGAACTCTCACTAGAATATGACCCAATAAAGCAGCTACCTGGCTAGTTAGAAACAGCTTCACAGACTTGCAAGACCAAGAAGAAATGCAAACCGTATTTCATAATCATATAAATTCATCACCATCACATTTTATTTTTTTTTTTTAATATAAAAGGAATTTTTGCCAGAAGTATTAAAAAATCTTAACCCCATTTAATTTCCTTGAGTGGTAGAGAGAGACTAATGAGGATCAGGATGAGCACTCTCTCACACCCCACCAACACCACAGTGAAAGGTCCAGCTAATCTCTACAGGCCATACTCTCAAATAAGAAACACCCCACTGAATCAGACCAATGATAACATTACAGTTTTCTTGAACAAAGATCTGTAACAAATGAAGTAAACTATACACAGATTCTTATATCTTTCTCACAGTGGCTCAAATTGTTACTACAAATCTGAAATAAAACAGTGCTGTAAGAAATCTGATGGTATGCAGGAAATTGTTTTCATGTGTATGGCTGTTATCCACCTGCATTACAGCAGATTTAGATAAACAGGGCTCACTCTGTACCACCGAACAGAGGTGAAGTGATATCACCCAGACATTTTTTCACTGCACAGAATACAGACTATTTGAAAAGATCAAAAGGTATTTATATCAGAAGAAAAGAATTATGACAGATTAAGTAATTTCTAAAGAGTTATTATTATTTCTTAAGTTCATGAATCTCAAAAAGTTCAAGACTGCTTAAAATACGTAATGCTTTGGACAACCAAGGGTATTTATTAAATAAGCAAACAGGTGTGAAAGTGTTCTCACTCACTTTAAAGTACTTCTGTATTTTTATATATTAGAAGTGTTATGCACCGTAACCAGGAACATTTAAACCCAATGAGTACAGCAAAAAGATGTCTGAGTCTTGCTGTATTGATTCTTCATTTGAAACCACGACAAAGCAGCAGCGAAAAATACCACTTACAATTCATAACACAGACTCAAAAAAATCACCACTTTACAGGAAGGCATACAAAATGCTTTATGTTCGTATATCAGTTCCTAACAATGCTTGTGAGAGTTCATTTTGAACTAAAACTGCATACCATTTTCACCTCTTTGTTTCTCCTGAGGTTTCCGGAGCGATCTCACTACGTGGTTCTCCTTGGTTTGCCCTCTAACAGAGTATCGGTGACTATTTAATGCATTTACAGCAGTAGCAGTTCTTCTCTTTTCTATTTTTTCACCTCTATATGAGGTACTCCTCAGGGCTATGTGTAGAGGAGCATCTACAAAGAGAATAAAGATGAGGTCCAAACTTTACATACTTTCAAAACGGAACTCTCCTTCCCCAGCAGCAGTCCTGGCTGGCCCTACAGAGCACCTCCGAAGAGATGCACTGCTCAACTCAGTCCCAGCAACGTGACCCGAGCTTTAAGCAGAAGCTGACTTAAAGACTAAGCCTTGTAAGGTTTTTTTGTTGTTGTCACTTCTTTTTTAAATAAAAAAGAAAGCACAAAGAAACAGTGAATGTAAATACATTCCCTAGAGCTTTATTCTTCCAGAAATAGTGTGGCTCTGAGGAAAGACAGGAAGAGAAACAGTTTGGATCAGCAATGATATAATTAGATGACAGTTTCTTTCAGAAGAGAAGAAAGGGCTCCTACTGATGTAAATAGAGGAACCACAGCCTGCTCTCAAGTGTGCTTTGTAACGAGCAGACAGAAGAGACATAGATGCTCCATGCTCTGAGGAAGAGCAGTTTTAAGCACATACCACCAAAACCCAAGTGTTTCAGCCAGAAGAAATGCAAGAACTCAGAACTGCCACCTAAAGCTCATAAAGTCATGAAACAGACAGACATGACTTCGATAGTAAATAGAATTGCAGATGAAGTTAAATTACTTAGCTCTCATTTAGCAAGTCCCTTGAGCAGTTAACAGCCTCAACAGCAACTCTTTCTACTGAAGGACTCCTGGACACAGAAGATGGCAGCTGAAGCTGATAAAAGCAAAGGCTGCATGACATGTAGGGTGGACAGAATAAAAAAGTACCTTACAACTTCGAAGTATGAACTCATATCTCTGTCAATGAGATCTAGTAGCCAGGCTGACAGAACACTGATTTTTGTCAATAATGTATGATTCTAACATCATAAGGATCTCAAAAGTTCAGTGGATGCTAAAGACATCCTTCTTCATGTCTGAAGACATATACGTCAACAGGTTTCTCACGTGGAAACCTCTAAGTCAGCCAGCAGTAGCTGAGGATGGAGTCCAAGTCAGCATACTTCGGAGATGGGAAATCAAGAGCTCTGGCCTGACCAACATTTCAAGTTGAAGCTTCAGTGTGGCACATTAAGCCATCTTGTTCTGACCCTTTCAGAATCAAGTGGATCCCTTCAGACCAAAGGAACTCTAAATCCAGCAGTGAGGCCATTAGATTGTTTTCTCCCTGGTTTTCCATAAGCTGCATTAGAACTTCACAAATAAATACAGTAAAAAGGATCTGTTCATAATAATTTTAGTTACTTGATTACCCTTCAGTCATTTGCTGTAGTGCTTTACATCAGCCACAAGAGAAGGCAGAAAAGATACAAAAAGCTCAAGTTTCCCACACAAGAGCATGATAAAGGTGGCTTTCATCCAGCCTGGCAGCTCACTGCTGCCTTTCCCTGGGCTTGTGCTGAAACTGAGAGCTGCAAAACCTTAGGAAACAACTTTTTTTTTTTCCCCCTACAAAGAACTGTTAAAACCAGAAATGAAAACTCCTTGGTGAGATACAAAGTGATAAAAATGACTTTACATTGTCAAAAGGACCAACTTCTCCAGCAGGAACAAGTTTGATGCAGTGTAAGTACATTTTATACTTGTAGGAGTTGCCACTCATGGTAATCACTTCTGGGGACCTTCACAATTAGTGGACTGCACACAACAACTGTCTGAGGAGAAAAAAACTTTTCCCGTGGTACACAGTAGCTGAAAACAACAAGAAGATTAAGGTATTTCTTAGAATATCTGGGACACCAGTATCCTAGCAGACATCCTGCAAGGCAGAGCGTGTCAGTACACAGCGACAAGACATGTAAACAAGTCGGATAAGCATTCCTGATTATCTACCACTCAGCCTGCTTTGAATTCCAGAATTATTTACAGAACAGCATTTCACTGAACTTAAAAACAAAAATCCCACTAGAAAAATACCTACAAGGCATTTAGGCCTCCTAACTTTCTCCTCTCCCAGCAGTCCAACTGTACTTCATAAATCACCATTCAGACTATGCTATGGCCACCTTGATCCCACCAGCTCTCCAAAATGCTTCCTGCAGGCTCACATCCACATACAGAGTCTCTAGGTGGAACAAAGGCCTATTTTACATCCATGAGGCTTTTTCGCTTTCTAAGAGTGAAAGTTTAAGAAACTTTTTCTATTAAAGAACATGTTGCATCTTTTACAATGCACAAAGGTTACTCTATTTCTGTAATACTCTCCAGCCATCAGTGATACATTTTTGGAAGAGTCCCAAGGTACTCAATCATATGCCAGGTGCCTTTCTGCAGAAATAGTTATTAAATACATTTTGAATTTTTTTTGGAAGTGTACAGACTAAACTGGCAGCACAACGACCTAAATTTCTAAGTGTTCCAATAGTGGAGTCTTTTCTCCTCTCAGAACAATTTCAAATATAACTAACACGAAGTAGGTCAATTTCTAAATTAGGCCCCAAAAGAATGAAAAGAAACTGTAAGGACCACAATGAATTTTAATTATGAACGTGCCAGTGAAGTCTGCATGTTCCCCAGCCTCAGGCTTTGCTCAGCACCACCTGCAGTGTGCCATGCCCTCTGTGCTCCTTGCCCTGAGCCAGCCTTCACTATCGTAGACCATTTCCATCTCTGCTTTCTCCCTGTCACAGAAATCCTGATGTGGTTTCAAGAAAAGCCGAAAGCACACAACACACCTCATAACTTCTCTGTCAAGTACTTGTTCCTGCACTCCACTGAGGTTATCAAACACCACCACAAGCCTGTACTGTAGGCTGTAGTAAAATGCGGAACAGTGCTCAACCATCTCAGCCATGCAGAAACCACGGAGACTAGCCAGACAGAGCATTCAGAGGAACTTAAACCTGAACATGTCAAAACTCAATGACAGCCAATGCAGTAGCGTTCTGTCCAAAGGAACACAGATATCAGGTCCCAGTTATGAAGATAATTCAACCTTCATAGGAAACAAAGAGTTTTAACTTCAAGTGCTGTCTGTTGTACAGTACTCACCATCAGCAGCTATGAAATCGTGTGCTGAGAATATCCTTCATATTCTCAAGAATGGAAGGCCTCTTATCTTGACTTACACCTAAGGAATTTGACACACAGCCCACAAACCACATGCAGTATCTTGAGATAAGCCACAGGCTGACTGGCGATTCTGCAGAACACAGGCTGTTAACACAGCTCCTCACCTCCTCCGGGGACAGCAAACCCTGTGTTCGTAGGAGACCTGTGTACCTTCTTCCACCAAGCAAAGGGGCAGCCACCCCAATGCACCACCCTGAAACCCACTGAGCTGAGTGCCATCAGGCCACACGTAACAGCCACCGGGTGACAGCGGACACCTTCGCTAAGTTCAAGCCAGCAAAGTAAGCTTGCCACCCTGCTCCCTCTGTACACGTGGTTATGATCTTATCACTAAGCAAACAAAGGTACGTATTCCTAACATTAAGACACTCGTGATGCTGTCCTAACAGTGTGGGCACACACAAAAATTCAAGCCCGCCGACAAAATGCACATTTTTTCCCCCCCCACAAGCATCACCAAAGGACTCATCAGCAGGAGGGATTTTCTGTGGTCCCTGAAATACAAATTGCAGGTCCTCTGGTTTCTTTTGTTCCTCACAGCAAGGACAGAAGCAGGACCAACACTGGCAGCAACTTGCCAGACTCAGGCTCCATATATACTCTAACCCTCCCAAAAAACACAGCCCTGTGTTGCAAGGTATTTTTGAATTCTCCAAACCAGTTTAACCTCATGTAGAGCAAGACTCCTCTGCAGAGCTGAGCTATGTCTTGGGAGTATTAAGGTAAGGGTATTCAGCAGCTGGTGAAGTCCCTGCCAGTACAGCAGTCAGGCTGAGGAAGCATGAAGCCCATCAGCACTAAGTGCTTATTAACAGAACTATGAGTACTGCAGCCAACTTTGAAAGGTTTCAGTGGCATTTCTTTGCACACAAATTACCCCACTTATTCACATGTGAGGTGAGGCCCATCAGCTGTACAAGCACTGAAGTCTGCCACAAGTTGACTTGCAGGCTTCAGAAAAATTGCTCAGCACTCCCTGGCAGAAGGGCAGGAGCTAAGCTCTGTTGAGCCTCCTTGAAGCGGTACACAACAAACCTTCCCAAAAACCTTGAGTGGGTACTTCACATACAACAGGAGGTCCACACAGACCTGAAGAAAGTTGCCATCTTCAGAGGAAACAATTTACATCAAATGTTTACAGGGTGCAAACATGTTTTATCAATGGTGAAGCGTCAGTGATTTTGCAAAGGAAAAAGTTTTGACTATGAAGAGAGAGAAAAAGTATTTTACCATAAAGTATACAGACATGGAAAATGGTTCCACTCCTTTCCTTCACTATATCAATCACCATCACCAAGCAACTCTGCCCCAAAATCTAGTAGATAATACACAACATTCAATTTTGAGTTGACAAATTTGAGTCTCAACTTTAGTCTCAACTTTAATAATCAAAATTCTAGAACATCTTCCTTGTAAGACAGACTTTTAAAAGCAATCTGGAGCCCTGCCCAAAAATCTTATATGCTGTTCCATGAGCTTAAAACATTTTCTACAGATCTTGACTTTCCTCTTAAACTAAAGAGTTGCATCTGTTTCTACATTACGCCTGCAGAGGTGCAAAGCAACTTAAAAATTGAGGACAGAAATACCTGCAGCTCCCATATGCCAGGGAGACCCAAAACCAACTGCCTCATCTGCACAGAACAGTTCTTTCAGGAAAGACCAAGTAGGAGCAGTCCTCATGGAGTTAAGCATTACAGCACTGGGGAGGAGTTTTCATCATGATGATCTCATATTTCCCGATAAAGAAAAGAAGTATTGCTTAGAAGCATTCAGGAGCCATTCAAGTCTGTATCATTCCGATCAGACAAGGACAATTTAAAATACCAGCTAAGCAGCTGCAGGTTCTTTCACTTCCATTAAATGGAGTTGGACTCAATGATCCCTGCGGGTCCCTTCTGATGCAGGATATTCTATGATACTATGAAAAGCCACTACAAAATTTAGAGAGATCTGTCAAATTTGGCACAGCCAAGGTAAGCTCCTCCCTAAGGAGGAAGACAGACAGGACAAGTACCTCCACATGAGTCTTTCTAGCCACATTAATCTTTTGAAGCCAGTTCCCAATTGTACAATTTACTACAGTTCAAATGCTGAAATTTCAGAATTTCTACTTTATAAATATAAAGAAATTAAAATCTAATTTGTTCCTTCTTGCATCCCACAGCACGGTCTTCCTATTTGGGTAATTAATAACAGAAATGATGCTTGCAAAAAGACAAGAGAACACAACATGAAACAGTATGAGATTGTAAGTCCCATTAACTCTATTTTAGAATTTGAGGTACGGGATGAATTACAAGAATTAAGAAAAAGTTCAACAAAATACGAACATCGCTAAATAATCAGGCATTGTAATACAAATGCAGTATGATGACATCCCTTTTCCACATCAAGGAAGCTTCTGTCTCTCCACAACAGCCGGCATTGATAGCAAGCATGAAATTCTCCCCTTTCCACCTTGATTCACTAGTCATCTGCTGTCAGCACAGCCAAGGAGCTACTGGCAGGGATATGCTACGAAGCATACACACAGGTTACAAGTATCCACTCACCACAGAGGAAAAAAGGAGTGGAGATCTATGTAAAGAAGTAATGCTATGAACAATTACCTGCCAGTGCTGCCAAAATGATGTTATCACATCAACAGGACATACTTTGAAGAAAGGAGTAATGAAAAGGTCAAAATCTTGAGCCACAATTCAGTTCATTCAAGACAATCAGAGGGGAACTACGTTTTAAAGCGAACTAGGTGCACAGTATCTCAAAAAGCAGAAAAGAAATCTGCTATGGAAACAAGACGACTGTTCCGACCAGCGCGCGGTGCTACCTGCTGCTCCGCACTGCGTGCTCTCGTCCAGCTCTGTTTCTGCAGGCAGGAAGTTACATGCAAGCTGCATTCCAAGTAATAAGCAGAAGCTGGCACATTCTAACAAAGCTAAAGAAAAGGCACCGCTAAGTAATTAGATCTTACGCCTTTGCATTATTTGAAATTACAGAAGCATCTGAGGTAAAGCAGTTTACTTGTAGCAGTAAGTTTAGCTACGCTGTTTTGTTAGGAATAAGCAGTAGTGTCTCAAATGAAAAATGTTTGCTGGACACGTCATGACAGGCAGACATGAAACTATGTAAAGCAAGATATATTCTGCTACACTGTGCTGGTAACTCAGTGAACAACTTGAAAGATTCTGAAATCCTTAATTATACAGAATATCAATGAAAGATTAAAATTTATACGGAAAATATAACAACATTTACAAGGACCAGAGAATTCAGCAAAGAGAAAGTTGGATTTTATAAAGCAGGCTCAGTCAGAAGACAAGAGAGAGGTAATATTCATGGATCCAGGACACCAAGTGAAACCTGCCCACAAGAACAGCCTGGATACATCATCAGTACCCACACCAGTACACAGGTACACCACCCTGATTGTATTCAGTAGAGCAGGAACAAAGAACTTCAAAGAATGGAACAGAGAAGAAGAAATTAACATAATTCTGAGGACTGCAAAGCAGTTATAACTGAAGAAGAGTCCTGATTTTCTTCCCTTTCAATGGCTACATTGAGGTCTTCCCTTTCCACTACCTGCCAGGTGCAGGAGTATCTTTCAAGAACAGCTGTAGCAACTGCACTTGTTAAATACTAGGATTTCTTTCACAGGTCCAGCAAAACTGCCAGCAGACTTCTACACTAGCACGTGAGGACTGTGAAATGTAAAGAGCAAAGTGAGAAGCAAGAGAAGTTGAGTTATCCAGACTGCTACCTTAATACAAGAAAGGACATATGAAGTCTTCCAGCAATACTTGTTAGACATTTGACACAAACAGAAGGAAAAAAGGACCAGAAAGTCAAGGGATAGTAGTTCTGAAAAAGGAACAGATTTAATACATGAGTAAGCTGTTACGGAGCAATAAGACAGGCTGCACAGTCACCTCATCACAGAACTTCATCTGTGTTTCTAGATGAGGCAATTTCTTTGGTTTTATCTTCTCTAAAACTGGATGTTTAGAGATACCATTATGCTTCTCCACAAAGAAATATGCAAGCTGCAGCCATAAGACGACTCTTTCAGCCCAAAAGAAAATTGATTTTCACCCTGTCCTCCTTGCTGCTGTTAAAGAAAAAAAAAAAAAATCAGCCAGATACTTACACAATGAACCAGCTGCACTCCGTCCTCTTTTTGACCTTTCTTGATTAGCTTTCTCAGAAGCCAAAGAAGCTCTGGTTTGAATGTGCCTTTTTACCGGGTTCTGCTGTGATTCTGCAGACTTGTCCACTCCATGAAAATATTTCATGTGATAATGCAATAACTTGGCTTTGCGGAATGACTTTGAACAGTCCACGAACTTGCATTTAAACTTGTGGTCTTGATCAACGGTTGGAGCTTTTTTTGATGCAAGAAAATCTGATCTCCTAAAAGGTTTTGTTACTGTAAGAACAAAACAGATAAATTCCCCCATGCATTTGCTATATTCAACAAATGGCTTCCTATATTACAAAAAAAAAGTTAAGAAATGAGCATGCATTCAAACAAGTTAACTGTGAAATGCTAACAATAAAATTTTTAGGCTGCCTGCTGTTAGGGCTAAGAGAAAACTCGCCCTTACTGTGCTCCTAAACTCATCTGTCACAGTGCTTTAACGAGTTACTCAACTCCCTCACCCAACTGCTAACAGTGCTGCATATAGCACTATTACAGACACAAGACAGAATTACAAAGAGACTGCTTATTTCTGTCAGAACACTGAGAATTATCTTCTATGTAGCATGTCATGTAGCTGTTCACATCTTTGGCCAAGGCATTTTCCAAGGAAAACACTTAAGCTTCTTTGCTTACAGCTCTTCTGCTGCCTCCTTGCTGGATGCCTTGTCTGACCTTCCAGGCCTGATTACTTCCAAGCACAACAGAACAGTAAGCAGTATGTCAGAAGGACACTACTCAAGTAAAACTGAAACCCACTACAGTTTTCAATTAGCAACGAAAGAAAAAAGTTCCAGGATTTCAGAAACTTCTCATGTTTTTGCTAAGAAATACACAAAAGAGACATTGTCACCAGGATCTGTATCTGATAAACGTGTGTGTGTGTAGAAATTTGGAAATATAGATAGAAACAATCTGAGTAATTACTCATCACTAGTATACACATTGCATCAAACCAAAACCACAGCTAGAGCACAATGCAGCAGTATAACAGGAGCTGTCATTTCTACAGAACAGTTACCAAATACAATTTTTCCATTTGTTTTGTCAGCACTAAAATGTTTCCATACTGACACATACTATCAAACTAAAAGAGTTAAGAAGCAGCATTAAAAGTTATCACCCAGTCCAAGCAAAAGTGATGCAACTAGAAGACACGCAGTGCGTTAATTAAAACTAACACATTATATTAAAAGTAGCTGGAAACAGAGCACAAGAGGACCCAAAACACTGACAAGAGCAGAAAAGGCTTTCTACAAGCACACATATGCAGCAGTGGATTGAAGGGAAGGTAAAATAACATCGGCACAGTTTTGATGTAAGAAAACAGCAGAGCTTGTTTAGAAATGTTTAGCAGGCAGCAACAAAAATGGTGAATTCTACTGCACTACAGACATAAAGGTTATGTGAAAGCACCCTAGGAAACAGCATCTGAAGTGTACTCAGTTTAAGGACTATCTTATTTTCATAAGAAACAAAACTTGAAGTCATTCATAGAGAACAGCTAATGGTTCTATGGAAGCTGATACACAGGGAAGGACTAAGACACATTAAATTGGTTAAAAGAATGAAGAAAACAGTAAAAATGAAGACACCTGCTTTCAGGTGTTTCCCAAGGAGAACAGCAAGGAGTAAAGGAACAATTTTGGTACCACTGCATTAAGAACATCCTGACAGGGAAACTGCTTCAAGCAATGGGGGTAGTGAGTTAGGAACAAATGTGGATAACTGGTTAGCAGAATGACAGTTTGCCAGCACCAAAATGTGAATACACTGTACACCATCAGAATTTGCAGTCTTAAAGAATCAAGCATTTCAGGACCAGCTGATGGAATGGAAATGGCTGGTGGATTCAGTGAAAGAAAATTCAGAAAGGTTCTCTTGTCTGCAAGGCTAAAAAAGCCAGCACACTCAGGACAATGAAAGATAATTTGCTTCAACTTAACAAACATGAAGATGGGGAAACTACAGCAGAAAGAGGCAGTGGAGCCTAGGGATTTACTGGGCAAGGATTCTGAAGATGACAAGGGAAGCTGTTACACATCACAGAGCTATCACAATGAAGCCCTGTCCCTGCTCTTTTACCCAAGCTTGGAGCACTTTCCTTCCACTGAGATGGACAAATTATCGAGCAGACACAAGGAACAGCTTCTAAATGATCAGCTACAAGTTAGAAGAGCAAAGGATCACGTCAGCTGAAGTTTAGCAACAAGGAGCTAGCAAACACATGGGAGAGGGGGAAGGAAAGAAGAGGAAAAGTTCATTGCAACATGCCAAAGGAATCCATTTAGGGAAACAAAAAGCACAGACAATCACAAAAAGTTCAAAATAAAGCTCCAGTTATTACCACTGCCACTGCATTTGAGGGCATGTTCCCTCTCTACAAATAAAGACAACAGAATTCCTGCTGCCAGGAAACAGTCTGAAACTGATGCACAACTCTGCCACCCAGGAGGGCCTTGGGAGAACCTGTACAGGCTCCCAGCTAAACGCCAGCTGAAGCTCTCTCATTACACCAACACGTGAAGGGGAGAAACTTCCACCCTTACACACATTTGAACTTTCTGCTGGTGGAACACAGCACCAAAGCTAGTTTGTATAGGAAGAATCATAGCTTTGCTTTAGTGGCATCAGATTTTCAGGCACTTGTCCTTCCAGAGTAAGGAAACTGGATGTACTGTTTTCTCCAAGTACAAAGAAATCTTATACACCTCCCACCCACTATTTCTTTCAACTTTAAAGCCAAAACTAAAAATCCTTACCTGGCACTCAACTGCTACACTACTAATCACACAAACTCAAGGTCAAAGCACAGCGTCTCTTAACTTTCACTGCAAAGACAAGAACATCCATTCAGCATTCACTTTAGCAGTCTACTTCACCTCTCATTGTGCTCCAAAGGACGTGAACTTCCAGTCCTGACCAAATTTAACAGTAAGTTTACAATAAAACATCAGCATATAGAAGCTTCTGAATCCCCTACCCATGCCTGCTCCCTCCACTCCCCCAAATTCCCTGTTTTCATTGATTCCAGCTGGGACAGCGATGCTCAGCAGCAGCACAGCACCTTGATTTAAGGTTGGCCAGTCCTGAGGAACCTTCTGCAAGGCACTGGTGATCGACCCCAGAATGCCACCAGTGCACTGAATATGTAGCACTTGCCTCCTGCCTCAAAGTTGGCCTTGCTGCAGTTTCTAGCCATCAGATCTTTACAAACAGCTGCATCTTAAACTGAAGAGACTTCAAGTCTCCATTGCCTGCTCTCCCAAGAGATCAAACTAAAATTAAACTATTTCCTCACCTACTGTTCAACAAAACAGATCATGTCTCTCCTGAACACAGCATCCACCGCTTCTTTTATTTTCAAGATTGCTCAGTTTGTTACCATTACCCTTCCTGAACTGCAGACATAAGATTTATCTGTTCTGTAGATAACGGCGCCAGTGAATCACAGATCACTAATGGGAAAACTCACCTCTGACATTCTGACCTGTTTACAGAAAGGTGAAGCTGGGCACAGTCAGCCTCAGAATCACACGAACCACTCTGGAGCTTCCTTAGGGGTACATCTAGTCCCACATCAGTCTACACCTTACTTACAACCTCACACCTTGCCCAGCTGCAATCACCTATCCCATACTCTGGATCCCTGCACCAGCAGGCTAACTTCCTTCTGAAACCTTCAGCTCACCAAGTGCTCCTGCTCACCATCTTAGTGCTCAAACTACGTTTTTTCTCGTCTTCCCAAAAATCAGTCTTCCAATACTTCAATTGTGAAACAAAAACCCACCTTGCCCGATTGCTATTCTCAACCTAGTTTAAACAGGAAAAAGCATTTGGGCACCTTAAGGATATCCAGAAACCACTCAACTACGGAAAGTACAGAAAACAGAAGCTGGTTGTACTAAATGCAAAGTATCAATAATTACAGCTCATCACACATGCACACAGTTCTCATTTTTGAGCCCAAAGCATTTTTTTGGCATTGCAAGACAGTATTTCATGTAATCCTTCACTTAACACATTCTCCCTGTGCTGGCACTAAATTTGTTACAATAAAAACAGGGATGCATGCTGCCTACAATGCACCAGAAGCTTGCAGGTGCCTGGTGTACCCTATGCCAACCTCGACACTGAGGGTAGAGCAGCTAGGTGGCCTTAAAGGCTTTACTTGCACTTGGACAGGTGTAACAAACGTTGTTTCCAGATCAGTGTATATGTGTAAGCAAGTTTAGGTCTGCAATGTGACATGGGCACATACAACATACTTAGGCTTAATACTGTGACTCTTAGCCCTGGAGTAGTGGAGCCTACCTAGGAAAGCTGCAGGATACACAGCTGTTCTCTCAAACTGGACACAAGTATTTTCAGCTTCTCTGTAACTGAAACCCAAAGCCAAAAGTGACAAAATTAGAAAAACACACAGAAAGTACAAGGCAAATCAAATCCTTGATGCATGTCTATGCAAATAAAAAGGCACCTTAAATTCTGGGAAACACAAACATGACAACCGTTCTGTGGAAAGCCAAGGCAGCTCACCTCAAACGTCAAATCAGTTTGCAAGAGTAAAGCCACACCAACAGCTGCAGAGTGCCTCTAAGCCTGTTCTCAGATACATGAAGCAGTGCATTACCTGGCTGTAAGAGCTTGCCAACAGTCTCTCCTGGCCCCTTACTTGAAGCACAACTTGATTTAGCTAAATCCTAAATCACCAGTTCTAGTCCCTAAACAGTAGGGGAGCCAAAAAACAGCAGAATAGGATTTCTATCCCCTACCACATACAATTAAATTAATCAGGATTTTGAGGAAAAGTCTAAAGAAGGAACTTCAGCTATGGCAAGTGATGCTATGCTGTCCTGCAAGAACATTACTTTATGAAACATATGCAGATAAACACTACAAATTGCATCTGCTGTTACAAGTGACTGGAATTACTATATCTTGAATCCTCTGCCCACTGGTGAAGGGGCAAACACCCCTAAATAGTGCTTTTACCCTTAAAGACTGCTGATAACATCCCTGCTCTTCCCATACACCGTGAGTGTTGAAGCAGGGTCTGTCACTCACACAAAACCAACACTAACTCCATTAAGGTCATTCATTTTATTTTGTAATAATTTCTTAAAGGAAGAGAATCAGCTCCCGTCATACTCTAATCAAGAGCTGAAGACTACAAACAGTACAGAGTTATAAAGTTGCACTACTCTAAGTTATCTTTCACCTAAATTCCCACACTTTATTTTGTGGGAACCACACACCTAAGATACTCAGTTTTGTGTTTTACCCCCCCACATGCATCAGCTGTTCTGACAACATGCTTTCTTTCCAAGCCCCAGAACTCTTGAACACAGCTGCCAGTTTGAGAACACAACAGCTTACATTCAACTGTAAGTATCTGGGGAGATGTCTCTCTTGCTCCTCAATCATCACCCAACACAGCAAGCTGACCTAGTTATCAGCCCCCAGCACTAGTTATTTTCATGGCTGCATGTTCTTCAGCAGCTCTCCAGAGCACACAGAGAGCCACTGGAAGTTTGCAGAGATGTTTCTGGATCCAATGGCACATCTCTGACACGCTGCTGCTCACAGAAGGAGAAAGCCAAAGCACTTCTGTTCCCCCATCAGGCAGGTCACTGCAGTGCAGCGTACCCACAAAAGTGAGCCCCACCCAACCCAATGGAAGCACAACTTTGCTTTGTAACAACAGACCCACCCACAGCAGGATCCAGGGATTTCAAAATTACTGTATCTACAAACCACTTTAATAACATTTTAAGAGTTAGTTAAAAATAGAAACCTAAGTTATTTTCCTTTTACAGCAGCTTATGGTAATAGCCTTTACACCCTTAGCAAGTTTCTCAGTAAAAACACTCAATTTCCATATTTTTATGTCCTCCCATTTGCATGCCTGGTGCTTCTAACATTAAGAGAGAAGACTTAAATTAACCAGAACAAAACTCCTGTTCAGAAAGGTGGATTTTCAGGCACCACCACCAGTCCTGAACCTTGGGCCAACATCCAGTATGAGCATGTACTCTTGAATAGACTAGAATCCAGCTCACTCGAGCACAGTATTGGAGTGTACAAGCAATACTGGAGGCCTTGGGTACTCATGTGAACCAGAAGTTATGTTATCACAGCCTTGCTTCTTCTTGCACCCAAAGAAGTCAGCTCATTATTTGTTGAATCACACTGGCATTCCACATTCCCCTGGAATTCTCACCAGTTTAGACCCAAACTGCAAGTGCTCAGTAACAGAGAGAATAAAAAAGTTTTAATAATGGCAAAAAACATCCAATGAAATCACAGACTCCTGAACTCTCAGCAGTCCAGTTGCACAGCAGCATTACCCTGGAGTCCTACCCCATTTACCTGCAGCCAAAGTTAACGTTCTGTAAAGCTAAAACTGTAAGATTGAAGTATCACTATAGAATTTCAAATGTACAAATCAAATAATTTCTCCATTTCTTACTCAACAAAACACAGCATCTCACCCCAATGTATATTATGCAAGTTTGGGGGGACAAATCTATCAAGGTGACTGTAAATTGCATTCATGAATTCGAGCTGACCATAAATATGCAAATCAAGGAAAAAAAACCTGCTACTATTTAACTTAAATCCCTAGATCTGTCAACCAAATCCTTTAAGACCATTCACGAAGGGAAAGAGACTCCCCACTAAGCAACAAATACAACTTTGTTTTTACACAATGAAGACCACTTTATCAATTTATTCTTTCACAGTTACCAGAGTGGCTTGTTTGCAGCTGAGTGGGTACTAGCTCTCACTAAACCAGCCCTGAACTCAGATCCAAGAGAACTTTCTAAAAGAAAGAAATCATCTCTGCAGATGCACACACAGCTCCGACAACAGCCCAGTTTTAATAACTCTTGGATCTTCTAGTTATTGAAGTTAAGATACTGCAAAACTCTACAAAAAGCTACATGGATATCAGTCAGAAAACAAAAGCCCTTGGCAAAAGGCATCATTTTTTAAAATTGCATCTGACCACTAACCCCAGAACTCTGCGATTACACATCGTGGCACCAAGCAAAACAGCCCCAGCACGTACCAACTGATACCAAGACTCCAGATACACCACAGTTACAATACAGACGTATGCATCATCGCACTGGTTAGGAGGAAAAACAAAGATCAAAAGAGCTTTCACTCTTAAATAGCAAAGGGATGCTGACACATCAAACCTGAGCAACGGAGAAGTTACTTCCTCCCCTCACTACAGACCTACATGCAATTGTTACCAGGGGCACAGAGAGAGGGCATTTAATCTGCACGGTTACACCAAGGTGGGTGAATGAGGACATGTGCAAGCAGGAGAAAAAAAGCTGGAAGAACAAAATCAGGATGAAAGCCAACATGCAGAGGTTACTCTAGCATTGCTAAGCAACCCTAAATCCCTATAAATGGTCTATTCCATCTAATTTAAAGCTTATAGGGCATGTACAAGGGAATTTGTAGTTCAAGTTCCCCGACTTAGCTGCAGATAAAAGTACTGAAGCTACAAAAAATAAATCGTATTTGGGCTTAGCCTACTGTCTCCATAGGAACTTTTAATTTGAAAAAGACAGATAAGTACACTCCTCCATCTATGAGAAAAGAACAGAAATTACACTTCACTGCTTATTTCATGTCTGCACAAAAAAATCTGAAAATTCTAGGGCTTAAGCATAACAGATGACAAAACATCAGGGTAGAGAAATGCACAGCTGATATTCCCAGTCATCCCTGCTCTGACACACCTGCAGCACAGCAAGAGAAACTGATCTTTTAATGTGTTACTCTGACCTGGCCCTGAATGACAAAAATACCCTCAAAGCAACTACTTCTATTAACATCACCAAATTCACAGGTTAAAAGATTAAACCCAGACATTTTAAAAGTATGATTTTTGCTTTTTGGAAGATTCCTGTCAACCTCCAAAGCTTTCACAACATCTAAACTGAATGCATAGCAGTAAGAATTTTCATTTCCACCTGTGGTTTGCATTACAAGAAAGCATAATTCATTAGTCACACTGAAAAGCATGAAGCACCTGGCACCAGTTGTCTCAAGAGAAGTGTAAATATTAAGATGCAAAATCAAAAATTGAACCTGTAGCAGCAGCAGGTTCTTCAGTTCTGACAGTAACAGAGGAAGATTCAGTGTCTTCAATGTTTTCTTCTTGTAAACTGGCATCCGTACTGAGTACCGTGCTATGTGATGTGTTTCCAGGAGATGCTTGTTCACCAAAACTTTGGTCAGATTCAACAGGAACTTCTAACTGGACTAGAAGGGAGGAAAAGTTCTGATTGAGTAAGATGCACACAGAAGAACATTCCAGAATAGCAACGTGTGTGGTCACCATGTTCAATACGAACATCTATCCATATTCAGACTGCTAACACAAAACTAACATTGAACAATACAGCTCCCTGTATTTACCCTCCAATTTTCAGAGGGTAAAAAAATCCAAAAACATACATGCTATACACATTATAGATAAGTGGGATAGGTCACACCATTACCAGAGCTTCCCAAGAGGGAAAGGCAGGGAAGCACACAGTACTAAAATTGTCATCTCCCAACAGTTCAAGAAAAAAAAAAAACAACCAAAAAACATCCTCTTCAGTGCTTTTAGTGTTCAACAGGAAGATTAAACCCTAGATTTAGTATACAAATTATTTCTTGAATCAAAAGGAAGTTAAAAATTACTTCATTTTCCCAAGGGCAACCCACATCTCTTCAACAACTTTTCCCTCCAAGTCTCTTGACAATCTGTGGAGCTCTCTCTCAAAGCAGCTGAAATCAGCCACACACATCTTCCTAATGAAAAAGCACCACGCACACAAAGTAAATATTAGGGTTACTGACAGAGAGGGATTCAAAAGCAGAACAATTTAAGGTTGCAGAGATCGAAACAAGCTTTCCTTGAGTTTACTCTGCATGGCCACTGAAAGGTTTTAACTGCAGATATACAGCCTGCAAGTCATGAAAGTGAAACAGTAGCACTTGCAACAACCAAGACTTGCACTGCACCATAAATTCAGAGTACAACAGGAAGCTGCTTACCCTTCTCAGACTCCTTCGGGTTAGACACCGTGTCTTTCAAAGTCTGAACTTCTGTTGAAGTTGTGACATGATCTGTATTTAAAATCTCATGGCTAACACCAGATGAGAGTCTTGAAGATCGCCTCCTGATCTGATCTTTTTCATGGTTATCTGATGAGTTCTTCAATTTTTCCTGAGCTAGAACAGAGAAATCTGCTGCTATTGTGAAGGCACGGGACTGCTGAATAACTCAGGAGCCAACTTCAAAGCTTTCCCTCCCAGGGACATTTTGAAGTAGTAGACTCAGTTTAACAGCAAAAGCTAAACATCCCTGGTGGATAGACCTCTCTCTAAAAGCTACAGTGATACAAACGGTTACAAATAAGGAGAAGAAAAATATTACAAGCCTCAATAATTCCTTTTGATAACAAATTTCAAATAATGATTTTCTTTATTTAACAATTTTTGTTTTGAGGTTTTGTAACCCTTTAGGGTATCAGAGGCAATATAATCACTGCCTCTTCTTAAGAGCTTGTGGCTTCTCTATCCAAATAGAGATTTCAAGAATGAGGAGGTAATTTCAGTACCATGATGCTACATATGAATAGTCGATTTAAGACAAAATCTAGCACGATTTTCTATTTCATGTATCACAGTTAAACTTTACTACTACTACAGACTTTTTCATTTTAGCTTTAAGAACTGATATATGTATAAATCCTGTGAGAGTTAAATACCAAAAAACACTCACACAAGTTTCTGTCTATCCTGGGACGCTTTGACGGAACTTCACCTCCTTTTGGTATTTTCCGACGTCTTAACTCCAAGGCTATGGGCTGCAGTGTCTGAGAACCAGGCTCTGCACATTTAGACAAAGAACAAAAGTTGGTTAGATATAAAGCTGGAAAACTTCAGAATGTAAATTCACAACTCTTGCAACTTAAAATGCGAGGCTTTCGTAAACAGCTTCACTTGTACGTAATAGCACTTAATCTTCCTGCAGGCATACATTACTGGCCCAAATCCAATCTTACACTAAAGCATTAAAACTCGATGTGTGAGTAACAAGTATGCTTTCAGTTACCATAAACCAAGCCTAAAGTTCTGAAAAAATTGAGAAATGTCTGAATAATTAGACTGTGGACAGAAAACCAACATCACTTCTGTTTCTTTAAGTTGAAAGGTTTCTGACCATGGTACACGCATTTAAATTCAACTACAAACCTGCTGGAGGTGTTATTGGTGGTCTTCCACGTTTTCGTTTAGTTTCTTTTACGTTTTCCTGTGGACTCTTCACATTGTCATTCTCAGGCTTCTTCTCAATTTGTGTATCTATTGAATATTCCATATCATTCTCTGATATATTCTCTTTATCTTCTTTTCCATTCTTAGATATATTCTTCTCTGAGACCTTGCCTTTTTCTGAAACGACTATCAGTTTCCCCTCTTTATCAGGTTGCTTAACCCTTTTTTCAGTCTTTAATGTCTTTTCATCCTTGTCTTTCTTTGCATTACCTGTTGCTTTCCTCTGTTCTTTAAATTTCTCCCGCTTTTCAGGAGATGACGGAATTTCATTACCTCTTTCTTTAGGCTTAGCATTACCCACAATATTCTAGAATAAAGAGAGTGACATATGAAAATTAACTTGCTGCAACCTTGAAGTCATTCTTCACCTTTGCATTTAGCAAACCTGCAATTTTTTCCAACCTTCCAAAGGATAAAAGCATATACTCTACAGTAACCCCTCAGATTAAAACTTTAAGGCACTTTATCTGTTCAAAGGCCCATGCAGTACAGGGATGCTGCTTTAACAGGATAGCAAAACAGATTCACTCCCTTGACAACCCAATGGTTGGAAGACTTGCTCTGCCTTGATTCCCATGTGCAGGCTGGGCCCAGAAACAACACCGTAGCTCTATGTCAGCTTAGAGCTTACCCAGGGCACTGCAGGAGGAGTGGGAGCCAAGAGCACAGGAGAGGGCAAACACCTCAATGTCCTGGCTGCAGAACTCTCCTCTTCCTTCCACAGAAGAGTCTCAAAACAAACAAGCATTTAGGTTGTTTCTATCTCTGCTAATCACAAGTGCTAGGCAGTCATCTACAGAACTGCAGTCACCAACCTCTGCTTGCGTTTAAAAAATAAGGCCAATATGCTGTGAGCACTTTAAACATCACAATCTTTAGTAGTCCCTGGGCAGTAAGCTACTGATACAACATTCAAACAGTCTCATTTTTACATCATGGTTATACAGTAACAGAAAGCCAGGAAGAACACCCCTGTATCTACAGTTCATCACTACTGAACACTCTCTCCATTCTGTGGTCACAATTCATTCCAACAGCTCATGGTGGAGAGATGCCAGCTTTGTTTTCCCCTCCTTCCAACACTCCTGCTACAGGCTATCCCAGAGCTCCTCTGCTCTGAGGAACAGAAGCCTTCTGAGTCTAGATTAATAATTTATATGTGATTGCATTTCGACACTGCCTTCAGTTTAACTGCCTTCCCTCTGTGTTGCCTGGTAACTTGCAGCATCAATGAGCAATCAGACTCCTTCCCAGCCACAGCCCTGCCAGGCACAACAAGCCTTTCATCCTCTCACAAAGAAAAGGCACTGGTGTCTCAGCACAACTTTTACTGGGTACCATGGGGAAAAAGAAGTACATTCCTTGAATACCACAGCTGTGGGAGAAGCCTCATACATCAGTTAAAAAAAGCAAAACAAAAATACCACCCAAACCCATAACATCCCACATTCAACACAGCAACCCTCAAACGCTGGGTTTTGCTAGTCGTGCCATTCACAGAGCTGTCAGATACAACACCATTCCACAACAGGCACAAACCACCTGAATCAAACTGTTCTTAAGAAGGTGAACCATAAACCCAGCAAGCTCGGATCGTCTCTCAATTTTACCAACATTTTAAAAGCTTGAATAAATACTATCACTCTGTGCATTTGCATTAAGCATGTGCATAAGCATTTTACTATGACAGTTCAATAGAGCATGTTAGTATCCTTCTACAAAGGGATACTATTATTAAAGAAGGTGTTTGCTTTTCTAACCACGGCCTTCATGGCCATCCTACACTAGAATGCAAGCTTTTTTCTTCCACTTGCTTGCGGCTGCATCTGAATCCACCTAGTGAACTTACATCCATAAGCAAGTTCCTGAGCTCCCCAAGGCCTGAGTCTTCAAGCAGCCTTTACCAGTAAGCCTTTTTTAAAACACAATCAGAAGTTTATGCACTTTATGCTGTAGAATAACTCATCTTCCAGGCTAAGAGAAAGCCTCCTAGTCAACAGTTAAACAGGTTTTGGAAGGAATGTATTTTATCCATCTAAACAGGAGAACATGGAAACGTGATGAGCTCTCCATAGGAAAGAAAAGAGAACATTTTTAATATTTTAGTGAAGAAAATAGTATTTTTTTGTATTGTTTGTTTTAGGTGTTTAAGATTAAATAAGGCAGAAACATGCCTCATGGCAATGAACATGCTTCTGGTAGATGCCTTGTGAGAATGAGTCAACCTGAACCAAGTACAATTATTAGCCTTTGAAAGTCATTAAGAGCACTTTGTGGCAAGTCTGGAACAATTTTCCCTCCCAGCCTGGTAGACAAACCTACAGACCTCCAAGGAACAGCACACCTCTTCCCAACAGCAAGAGATTAGATTTCTGTCTATCTGTAATTCGTCATTTGAACCTGAATTCTAAGACTCAAGTTTCTGAGGGATCCAATGTCTTTTTTCAAACTAAAAAAAAAAAAAACCAAAAGCACACACACACACACACACACACACACACACACACACACAAAAAAAACCAAAAAACCACCAACCACCCTAAAAGCAAAACACATGACTGAAAATACAGGCTACAGCAACATCACATGTTGTTGTGACAACATCATAAACAAAACCATTCCTTTAATGACAATTATCCTGAAGCAGGTACTTAAAAGTTTTAACCTAGTCACACAAGAAAAGAATTTGTCATCCTTTCCTACAGTGCCCACATGAAAACTGAATAGAAAACAGTTTTTCTTTCATCTCACTGTGAGAGTGAGCTGACATCTCACTACTGCTTTCCAACATAAGCTGAATTTTGAACATGTAGAACAGAGAAGGCAAAGGGTGGTAGAAGAGACAAACAGAACAGAATGTAGGTGTTAATAAAGTTTATGTTCTTTCTAAAAGCAATGAAGCCAGAGACTACTGGACAACTTGCCTAAAGGACCTGAGACAATCGGGAAAGAAAAACACTCCTGTTCACTTCATAGCTCTCAATCCTTGTTTAAGTATATATATACACATGAAAATCAACTTTAACACTGACACAACCAAACGGTTTTTCCAATATCCCACCATTAGCTGTGGTATGTAAATTCTGAATCTTCCAATGATACCTATATTAAAAAAGAATATCTAAGTCTATGACTTCTTCAGTTCAAGCAGCATATTCATAAGAACATGAGCCTGAAAACTTCACAAAACAGGCCATGAAGCTTTGCACCACCTTTTCATTTTGATAGACTTCATCTCAAACGTACAGTAGTTTAGCATTAGATAAGTTTTACTATTTTTACTATTTCATTTTTTTATAATGCAGCAAGCCTAACCATCAATTTTAGAATATACTACTAGCATGAACACACTACTTACCTGATCTTTGGAAAAAGCTTTGACATGAATGTTTTTGACAGTCTGAACTACACCATCATAAAATTTCACAGTGTATGTACCTAAAGTTTGAAAACAAAGTATAAGTTTAGAGACTGAAAGGGATTGAACAGAGTACCAGAGCTCCAATGATGAAGCTGCATGCTTAGCTCTAGGTAGGAGCTGCTTTGCCACTTTTCTTAGAAAGTTCAAAAATCATTTCACAGGACAGATAAAGGAAAAATAGGAAAAATAATGAAATCACACACACAAAAAAATTACAGTAAGCACAAAAAACACCTACATGCCTAAGCTTGAGAGTTTGTCCTTAGGTACTCATAATCAGAAAACTCCAAAACATTGTGTCCACAAGGTTATTAAAGGTTAGATTTTCTCCTTGATCTTACAACATAGACTCAGTATAAAGAAAGCACAGCACAAGAACAAATCCTCACCTGTGGATGCTCAAAAAGAAGCATGGTTGTGCTCTCCAGATTCTCTATTTTCAGAGTTTTTGCAACTTTAACATTAGGCTTACTGCAATTACACACATCCCTTGATAGTAAATTTAAGAAACAACTTCCCTTGTGTACATACTTATAGCAATTACTGACTGGATATCCCAGAAGATTCTTATCTCATAGAAAGGGTGAAAGGCTAAGTTAAAAGAGTTGATGGAAGATTAAGATACGCAATTCACAAAAACTTCTCACATTTGCTTTCAGCCTGTTGTACTCTCTCCAACCATGCAAGAAGGTTCAAACACATTACAGATACATTACTAACAAATGTGACCAAAAAAAAGTAATGACTCCTTACCATCCTTGTTAACAGAAGTAACTTTGGCTGGATAGAAGCGACAGTCAGACCAGCATGCCAACACCTGATCATTTATATGAAAACCCTACAAGACAATATTTTAAAGCATTTTCATCTGAGAAATACAGAAATACACCACTTCCTTAAAACATCAGAATGTGTAGCTTTCCAGTATTTAAAAATAACTCATAAAACTTATATAGCAAGCAATGAAGCAACAGTGAAGCATTTTAACCATCATAAAGGCCAACTGCACATTCAATAGTTTTATGTGCTCAAACATCCTTTATTTTCTACTTACTGCACACCCTTCTTCCTCATGTAATCCTTCCTTTCTTAACTGTATTTTCTCTAAAGGCCGTAAATAAGGACTGTCCCAACAAAACCATTCATCGTATCTGTGGTTCCACCGTTTGAAATGGATAAGTACTTTTCCTTCCTCATAATCAATTTCTTCAATGTGAGCTGGATACCTGGAGAAGAGGTAGATTAGAATACTTCAGTTAAGAAGAGGTTTACTCTAACTGCACTACGAAGCATTATATGCAGCTGGCCTTCTGCACAATCAAAAGCACAATAGCTGAAGGCTGCTTGATCTGGTGTGATGGGGATCCATGTCACCTCATCTAAAAAACATTAGTTTCCACAGCCTTAGTACTATTTGACACATCACTCATATAAGCAATTAAGATGCTACAGATGGCTTGGAGCTCAGTACAGAATGAATCCCAACACTGAACAAAGACAAAGACAGTTGCAGAAAGAGGAAACAACACGTACACAGAACTGAAGCTCTCTCTTACTAAGAGCAACATTTGGAATTCTGCACAATCACTTCACTCAGAGATGCCCATCAACGTCTCACAGTTGTTCAGTTTAACAGCAGGGTTCTAGCAGAGACGCTAAACCCAAATTTAGTTTTAGATTCTCAAAATTAAAATCCATCTTCAGAGTCCGAGGACTTTCAAATACAAAGTGCTTGGTACATTAAAAGTACAGGAATCAGGGAAAGGTCAGACTCATTTGTTTCTAACCAGGAAGACCTTAATTCTTTAATTGCATTGGTAATTCATAACTTAAGTACATATTTCAGCATCACAGCATATTTCACTATTTCAGCTGAAGATAACATCCCAAGTACTGCTATTTCCCCCTCTGCCATAATAGCACTAGGAGAAAACACTCACTTGTCAGTGTTCACAGTCACCTGGAATTAAAGCAAGACCCTTGTGAATTGCAGAACAAATGCCTGAAGGAAAAGCTTAAATTCACAAGTATTCTTTATTTGACAAATCACACTTAAGAAGGCAGAACAAAGGATAGGGGCAGAGGGAAAAAAAAAAGATTAAGCCTAGAAATATGCTAGAAATAAAGCTATAAAAAGAATTCATACTTAAAAGAAATGCAAAGAATTATTTTATACAATCTTACATAGATTAAAAGAAAGGTTATCTATAAATGAAATTCTTCAGAATATATGGGTCACATCCAATCACAACTTGTTGAAAAAGAGCTACAAATACTCCATGCCAAAGCCTTACACTGCAACCAAAGACCTGCCTAATACTCAACACCACATACCTCCAGCTATGCCATTAGTTCATCCCAGTATATTATCAGAACACGTGTAGGACAGGCTGTGGAGGAGAGAGAAAGACAGATGGGATATATTTATGGTAGGGACATCTTGACTCCTTCCTTTGTGGGGTGTGATTATTTGTGTGTATGATGGTCACCGTTTGTTGTATTTAGGAAAGCACCAGATTGCTCTGCATGGGGTCACAAGGAGGAAAGACCTGCAGTCTTTCTGTACATAATGTGGTTCTTTCAGAGATGGTTTACTCCTCAGTATCTCAGGAACTGCACAGTATTTAGCACAAGCAATGACAACAATCAGTATACAGCTCCCTGCACAGAATACAGAAACGGAGGAAGGAATTCCCAGCTCCTCTCAAGAAACCAGCAGAAGTTCTTGCTGTTGGAACTGCAGCAGAGCTGGGGCTCATTCAGATTCTCAAAGATCAAGCAGGACACTGATGAGGAGGACCCAGAACTGACTCAGCACCAAGCTAACGATGTGTTCCACACAGATGCCCATCCCTGGGAAATACACTCAATCCACTGATTTTCTCCTGCTGTGGAGACATGCTTAAGTGACAAAAGCCAATAAACCACTCAGCCAAGACTGCTCCCCTCTTCATACAAGAAAAGAAGGAACAGGAGACTTCACCAAAGGAATAATCATCCCAGAAGCATGCACCAGTATCATCCACACCTAGCTCATCTCTCCTCACCTCCTGAAGGCTCCCTGATGGTGGGAGACAAACTGATCCATCAACAAGAGCAGTAAAAACCATACCTGACAGCAAGACTGCATTTCAGCCTGGTCAAGAGGTGAGTGAACCAGAGCTCTCAGGCAGCTCCTGGCTAACACACTGCAGCATGAACTAGCCTTCCCTCACTGAAGCAATCACCATCGGCAAACAGATGCTCAGTGCTTGACTGGAACAGTAAACCTGTCAGAAGCTATATTACATCCAACCAGAAACTTCAATGCCTCCCCAGTGTGAACTTCCTCTTGGATACAAAGCAGCGCAGTGCTGCCTCATGCCTGGCAACTTGAAAGTGAAGACAAAAAGCTCCCAGGCTCTCAACAGCTCTGAGCACAAACTGACAGCGCAGGCATCCTTCCTCCAATATTTAAATCCCTGTCCTTCAGAGCCTTGAGCAAGCACAACACATCAGGATGCACAAGCCCTCACAGATCTACACAGAAGGTAACACAGGATATCCATGCAAGCACACATGTCATGGGATGGAAGTAATCTAAGGAATTCAAGCTTTTTTATCAAGAAAACACACTGGGAAGTTTTGTGAAGTAAAAAGCAAGAGAACTGAAGTCTGACCTAAAGGACATGAAGAGAACACAGCCTGCCATGAGTCCACGTAAGGTCCATCCTCCACCAGACCATGAAGAAGAATTAAGCTGGCTGTATGGGCTTTCAGAACAGATAACTGATTTGGAGTAAGAGATCCTAAACATTCAGATTAATCCCAGTTGATCTAACATGCTGAAGAGCCAGATGAAATCAGATAACTTCTTGTGATTTAATCAGGAGACTAAAACAAACAGCCTTGCATCTCAATCTGAAAGGAATGGTGAGTCTGTACCTTCCAAGGCCTCATGCCTAATGAGTTAGATAAATAAGGGGAAACTTCTGAGACAAAAACAGGGGCAATTAATTGCCATGAGAACCCAAGCAACAATTGAAGACTTCAACAGCACAACTCTCTATAGTCCTGATTAACAGCAACTGGCAACCTCAGACTACAGCTGTCACATGAAGGGAGGTTTCTTGTAGAGACAAGGGCAACCCTCCATCCTTTCCTGTGAAGAAGTGAGTATCTAGAAATTCCACAAGACAGCGATGACTGAAGGAGTTCCCCTCTCTCAGGCCTGGGCTAGTCTATCTCCCTTTTCCTATATACAACCCCTTTTCTCTTGGAGCTAGGAAGGCAATTCTGAGAGGAATGGAAACCTTCAGGAGGAGTAGCACTATGAAGGACAACTACTATGAATTTCCACGTTTTCAGCACTGGAACAAAGCCCTGACAGTGCGAGCAACTACACTGATGACACTGACAATCTCTGCCATAACACAGCAGTACAACACTCATTACAAGATTACCTTGATATCAATACTCAAGAACCTTGACTAGAATCAAGTTTCTTCCTATGTTACTTGCACTACAGATGGATGAACTTGAAAGAAGCATCATTAAAGTATGGAAACAAGAGCCATCACCATCTGCCTGCTGGAGGTAAGCAGCACATTCATCCTCTTTTCATTAAGGAGCAATATCTGCAGCTAGCCAGCAGTGAAGACTTTAAATGATTAAAAAAAAAAAACAACAATCAATAGTGCAAAACTGCACTTCACAATTGAAAAAAAACAAAAAACAGCAAACCCAAAACAAAACTAAAACCATCAAGAATTCAATGTGGCAGAGACGTACGTGCAGGAGAGGCACCACAGCCAGCCTTTCTGGGTCCTCGAGACCCAGGGCTGCACCACCAGGGCAGCCTCCTCCCATCCTCAGAACTCCAGCACTGTGTACCCCAAGAGCCCTTTATGCACACACAGAAGCACTGTCTGATGGACACAGCTCTTCCCCTTCCATGCCCCCAGGTCAGCACACACCAGAGGCCTTTCGTGACATGTTTCATGCGTCAGACAAGTCTTAACAAACCAAACAAAAACACCTAAGACAAGCACCTCGAGTACCCACTGTGCTCTCTGGAGTTCAAAATCTAGGAGCAGACAACTCCATCAGGAATTGAAGTGATGCTCAATATTTTGTGAACAAAAATACAGCAAAGCAACCTTTGGTAAGGGATTTCGTTTTCTCTAAAAGATGCAACATTCACTTCACACTGCAAGGAGCAGCTGTGGCATTGATTCCTCCACTGGCATGTGCAGATTTCTTCTATGTAGTAGGGCTGGAAGGTTGGCACCATTCAAACACACACTGAACAAGCAGAACATGCAGTGCAGGGCGCAGGCCACTGCCGTGAGGGCAGCTAAATGGGGCTCCAAGATGAACTGCTTTCCAAAGCTCCACTGAAAGCAATAATGGCTAACCAACTGATTTGTGTGTTTGGTACTGAGCAAAGAAGTCAAGGCCAGTCCTCCATCCCAAGAGGTGACTTCTGTCTAAGTAAGGAAAAAAAACCTAAAATCTGCATACGATTAAAGCCTGGACCTCTGAAGGTTTAGAATGAGAAGAACAAGCATGAAGAAATGGAAAGGTTCTGCATCCATATAAAAGGAGAGCACTGTAGCCATACCACAGAGCAGTTCTGTTGGCTCACTGAAAGTACTGAAGAATAGCCTGTCTTCCTCTACAAATCCACACCTTCTAAGAATGGGATAGACAAGGTCCCTTGTCTGTCATACTAACATTGCTAATTAAGCCTCCAGATCTTACAGGTTTTGGTACACAACCCCCAAATATCCAGAGATCATCACTCAGGGAAAGATGGACTTTCTGACCCAGGTTTCAGAAGCTCAGCAAGCAGATGAAAACATTCAGAACTGAAGAACCAATAACTACATTATGAGGTTGAAGAGCTGCAGAACACAATGCACAAAACAGATCATTAAAAAAAAAATTAAAGAAATCAAGAGAGCTTGAATTCTGGATATATTACAAGTCTAAAACTAAATTTAAGCTAAGGAATTTATGGAAAGTAGTAGGTGTTGAATTCCATCCCAGTCCACCAAGTTTCCCAACCTAAAAGCTACGTACTCATAGCCTGAGGCACAAACGTGCCAGATGGGCAGCCATGAGCCAATCCACATTAAGCTGTACCTCTACTAAGCCTACACAGCACATAGGCTTAGAAGTCTTTTTTTGCAGATGTTACCATTGTTTCTTGTATAAACAGAACACAAAAGATATAGCATGCAGATTTGGACTAATACCCTAATTACATGTCTCTGTCACACAGGAAAGGCAACAAAATCCAAGAACAGTGTTTGTGCTTCATGTTCTTTCCATGAAAAGCTATGCTTACTCATTTTTAACAATTCCAATTTCCTCGTATGTGGAAAGAAAAGAGATTCTACGCATGACTGATACATTCTGGAACAAGTTCTGCACATCTCTAGGGCAGCACACAATCCTTCTGGGGTGCCCAGAGGCTTTAAACAGCCACTTCTGCACATTTATCCTGCCTGCATGTTCCGGAGCAGTTATTCAGTTATGACAAACCCAGGGATTCTTAAATAAAAATTAACTACTGATTTCTGTAGAGAGAAGACATCCTAAGGCACTAACAAGAACCACTTAGTATTTAAGTAGCCTTTGACTCTAGCAATTTTCAGTTATGAGCATGATTTGGTCCTTTTCAACCCAGGCCATTTTACAATGCTATGATTATTTCCTAAAACAAATAGAGTAAGAAGGCCTGAAGTTGGCTCAAAGTCGGCTCGAGTTGACTTCCAGGCCCTCTCTCCCCTTCCTGCGGTAGTTGACAAAAAAAAAAAACAAACCTCAAATCCCCCAAAATCTCCTCAAAACTCAAATCTGCAAGACAAGCACCACAGCAGATTTCTTATTCAGGGTGTTTCCCCACTCGGTACGCTGGCAGCTGGTGGCCCCACGTGAGGGCAGGCTGGAACAATTTCAGACTTCGAAGCCTACAAATTATAAACAGCGACGGGAAAGGAAGCAGTGAGGAACAACCCTGGGTTGTACAATCCTGTACTCCAAAGGACTCATTTCTTCACACTGCCTACACTATCAGCTGTATCCAGCACAATGTGAGCACAAAGCCCCGCTAGGTGTGCGCAGCCCTGCTTCCCAGACACACACAGCACGAGCACACTTCTAGAAAAGCCAGCACAACACATCAGCAAGCATTGCCCATTTCAAGCACTGGTATATAAACTTCTAGAAATTAACTACTTTCCTACAGACCAACGACAAGGACTCTAAATACGGTATCAATATAAAATGTTTAAGATATTAAAGACTTAGAGTTAATATAATACGAATGTTTTTGAAAAAAATACCAGTTTTTTAATCTGTCACGGGCTTCCAACTGGGCTCCCACCTCAAAGTTGATCCCTCTTCTATTCGGAGGATGTTTTGTCATTTTGTAATATCAACACTGCTGATTTTATTCCCCTGAAAAATGCAATTAAATATCAATCACTAATCAAGACACATACAAAATAAGCTTATGCACCATAACCCCCAAAACCTAGATGTTAAGGGACCTTAGTATTTCTTGTTCACAAAAAGTAATGAGGGTAGTTACTTCTAAAGCAAGGCTTCCCAACTGATATTGTATACAGAATCATTAAAAAAAAGAAAAGCATTCACAAGGGAGCTACTGGACCGTGGAAGACTGAAGCTCAACCTTTCTCCACTGGTCCAAGTTCCAGGTCAATTAACAACTCTGCAAGCCATGACTGAGACAAGATTCTTGACATGATTTCCCCCCCTCCCCTTCCTGGTTTTGATAAAAACAAGGAATCCAGTAAACAGGAAGCAGCAAAAACACACAGAGCAACAACCTAAAATCTACCTGTTAGTGAAGTACTGAAGAACACTTGTTACTAATGCAGTTCAAAGAAATACTTAGTTACTACAAAAAAAAATAAAAAAAATCTGCTATTTGTTTGTTAAAGAACACACCCATCCACACCTCAAACATCCATACTTCCATTGCAGACTCACGGCAACTTTCCACCACTTTCTAGCAAAAACAACATTTTAGCAATCAAACTCCACGTCTCCAAATGCAGAGCACACATAGGTTGCTTAATGCTGTAATGTAGCAGAACTTCGGGCTGCAAGTTGGTTCCTCACCTAGTACTAAACTTGCTATTCCTTTTCTAAATAGGGGCACACAAAGACCAAGCGCTTCAAGAAGTACATGAATGAAGCTCTCTGCAAAGGAGCCCCTCAGCAGTGGGGGACCCCAAAGAAGCAGCATTTCAGCTCACCTACAGCAGACAGTGGGAGGGCAGGCTGGGCTCCTGGCTGCAGCAGCGCTGCCTCATACAACAGGGCTTCTATTCATAAACAAAACCATGCCAGCTTTGGCAAGGAACGCTGCACTACAGCTTATGTTAAATTAAGAAAATAATAATGGAAGAGCATTGCAAGGGAAATCTGAAAAAACAGCAGAAGCCATTTGATAATATTTACTGGGGCTGCAGATTCTGGTAAGAATCTGAACTGTTTCTTCTTTCCAGCTGGAGTCAGCTGAACGTCAGCATTTGCCAGAGCACACACCAACAGCACCAACACAGCCAACACCAGTGCAAGGCAGCTGATCAGCAAGTTGAACAAGAGCAGAGATGTTAAAGAAAAAAATTTTCTCCTCATCATCCCTTCCCCCTACACTCCCCCCTCCCTCTTGGGCTCCTTTGGGTTCTTCCAGCCCCCAACCCGAGGTGGCTCAGCACAGTGCTCTCTGCTTGGCACGCTTTCCTTGCAAAGCAGGCTGTCCTCTTCACACGCAGTTCATTCCAGGATCAGCTTCCTCAGGCAGACACACTTGGCAGAACATTATTCCCCAAAGCTGCAAGGCTTCTCTCTGCTCTTATTTTTTTCATATTCTTAAGACTTCCTACTCTGCAATGACTATGAGCAGCATTTCAGGAACTGATATTCCAGAATGCAGACAAATCACTGGTTTCAACAGAAAGCATTTCCAAATCCATGTCACAAAAAGCACACATTTCTGTTGTTTAAAAGGCAAGGCCTTTTCCTCCTTCCGAGAGTCACCATGAGGTAGTTCAGATTTAAAAGACTATTCAACCATTCAATTACTTGTACCTTCCTAATTGGTACTCACACTTCTATCAAGATGCTGCAGAGGACAATATGCTGACATTAATGCTGATCCCTTTGGGGATTTATGATTTCTGTCTTTTAAAACAAGCCTCCACAATGTAGCGGTTCTTACTCTCTTCAGTTTTTAAGCTCCATCAATGTTCAGCCCCTGATCTGGTGAACCAGGAAGCTTTGAAAGAAGAAAGTTCCTCTATAAACTGAAGCATCTCTTTATATTGTCATATAGGACATAAGCAAGCAGTTACAGCAAACTCATGAGTAACAGCCTCTTATCTTCTCTATGGAAACTGCAGAGTCACTCACCTACCTGCACAAAGAGAATTTTCCAGATCACCCACAAATGTGATTAAACCATTCCCTATGTACAATCACACCAACACAAAACCTTGCCTTTAAACCAGCTCCACTTCCAAATGGAGTATTACTTCAGTTCAAATGGCAAATTCAGTCCCACAATTCAGCCTCACCTCCTTCATTCTTTAACATACCTGCACCAACCCAGGGATCTCCTCCCACACCTCCAACAAAGCCCAACACACACACAAAAAAATGAGGAACTCAATGAATCACTGCAGTTCTCTGGCTAGATGAAGAAGCATGGTTAGCTTTGGCAAACTGCATCAACACAAGATAAAATACACAAATACTCAGTACAAAGCAGTGTTAAGCTTTATTTGGGATGGTTAAGATTGCTGTCCAGCTCCTATAATGCATTCTGTATTGCTGGGTATTCCATAGGGCTACAGAAGAAGAGGCAGGTAGGGCAGGTACTGCATTAACAAAAGGCACTTGCAAAACCAGAGAAAATAACTAACAAGAGACTGTCCTGCGTGCACTAGAGATGCAGCACTCAGACTACTAATGGGAGCCTCGAGATCTGAAATGTAGCAGCAGAAAACCCAAGTGCATTTTGCTTCCTGTAAACATGAATCTTGCTTTCCATCCATATAGCAGCATAAGCAGCTTCTGTGCTAAGACAGAGTAATGGGAGATTCCACAAACCATAAGCTGACTGCTGTTCACTCCAGCACTTTGTTCTGACTGCTAGCATATCTACACGCATACTGTGGAACTGACAAGGACTAAGTCCAATCACATTTTGCACAGCAGGTTTTTACTGCTCAGCACCTACTTTTGCTCTCTTACTCATACTATCTGCATACATCATGCAAAGCCTTGCATATTCATCAGTGGTAAAACAATGAAAGCCTCACCCAATTCACCCCCTACAATATGCTTGCCCCCATCAGGGATGGTCAGTGCAGAGAAGTCCATGGTCCCCACCATAATCAGAAGACCTTGCAAGTGGATGACCACAGCCACGCTGTGCTGAAACCACACACCTGCAGATGAGAAAAGGTAATGGCTGTATCAAGCTGCAAGACTGTACTTACAGACATTGCTATATTATACAACCATAACAACATCTTATGAAGACTTACACAGTCTCACAAACATTTAAACAGCCTACAGAAAAACATTTTGGTGCTGACTTGGGAGGCAGATTACAGCAGACCTTACAGCCTACAAAGTCTGTGTGTGCCATGCCTCCCAGCCCCACTGCTGCCATGCAGTATGTCTCACTGTATTTCATCCTATGTTGAACAAAAAAGGAAACAGAAACCCACCAGTTAAAATACTCACCCAGAGAGTTTCTGTACTAGCTATTCACTCAAGGAATCCTGCTTGTCCATACACACACCCCGTCTCATGGCAATGTAAGTTTTTGAGTCAGGGTTACAAGGAAACCCAAGACCCAGGGTATCCTAATCAATGGCCTTTCACACATTGATGCAGATCTCCAATCAAGTGCTTTGTTAATTCACTTTTTTTTTTAATTGCAACAAGAGCAGATAAAGGAAAAAACATGAATTAAACATGCAGATTATTAGACAAGGCAACAAGTTCCCAGGAATACTGTAACATCTCCATTTTCTATCCCAAAGACACTTCAAACAAGATGCCAGACTGCATCCAGTTCTTATGTGCACTGCATAGGATTCTCAAACAGATCGTAATCAACGCTGACTTCTTGCTTTCAGTTTGCCAGACCAACCAAGCACTATGCAGGAAGCAAACTCCTTGGCTGAGTAACAGCACCAAAACCAAACCCTGAACTGATACTTGCAACTTCCACAACAAGAGCAACACATAACTAACTCCTTATCACTGAAACACCCATGCAAAGCAGAAAGCTTTGAGTTTCATTGCAGACATGCTTGACTCCCAGTTTCTGGGGGCAGACTGACACTGCTGACACCCGCATTTGCTCCCTGTGTGGGCAGAACCACGACCTCCTCAAAGCATTCAGTGGCAGCAGAGCTGCTAGCAAACAAATCACCCTTCCTGGGTCGCCATCCTCACACTCTCCCTGAGATTACAGGACAGTGAGAATGTCACTTTTCACCCTCTCATCAACAGCCCACACAGCTGTGCTGGCAGTGCAAACTGGGGGGGAGACCAATGTAGAAGCAGAAATTAGGAACGTGGGCAATTTTTGTAGTAAAGTTTATTTTCATTACCAAGTGCAATTAAAGAAATAAACACATGATACTGAAAAGAACGCTTTTCAGCCATCTGATCATCTCTTATTTAACTGTTCTGGTTTCTTTTCTCCTTTTTTTTTTTTTTTGGTCTCTTGTAGCACAAATGTTAGAGACATTCAAACACTGAACAGGCAGAAAGATTCTGGAAAAGGGTTCAAATCACGTGGAATAAAGCAGGCTTTCCCTCATCAAAACAAGCTATATTCAAGAACAACTACTTTGATCAAACTGCCATTTTTTCATTCAACCAAAAGTCTGCAATTTCTGCTTTAAGAATTAAGGCTTTAATTTACAGGAATGGGATCCACAGTGCCTTTGCAACAATGAAGAAAAATGAATTTTACAACATGCTGTAAATGCTTGAAGGAAAAAAAAAATCCTTTAAGACGACTGAGGATCTGTGCTTATACTCACCAAGAAGAAACTCGCTGCTTATATGGTCACAAGCATCCCAAGTGCTGCTGTACAACTACAGGGAAGAAAAAGAATTGTATGAATTCTGAGGCAAAAAGTACTTTAGAGCTTAAAAACCTTCCTATAGAATTATACTGAGTATAAATTTAATCTGGAAATACTGCAATACAGAGTAGTGCTGGCTATCGTGATCCAAATTACAGATCAATCCTAAGGTCCTTAAAGACTCTTTGCATATCCTGATCAAACTTCCCCATCATTTATTTATCCTTCACTAAACAGAACCCACCAGTAACTTGCTGTTCTTTCTATTCTGCACACCAGATATTCCAGAACACCTCCATTAACTAAGGCAGTAGACAGTATACCAAACTTTGTATGTCTAACTCACTCAAAATTCAGGGTACTGTGTAAATATATTTGAACAGGTTAAATCTACCATACAGCACATCCACCCAAACTGCACTTAAATGAAATTACAGGATACATTCAGTTTTATTGTGCACATTATTGAGAATGTCCAAGGAAACATCAGGCTGAAGAGCCAGGACAGATGGCTACAATTCACATTCGCCATCTCTTCCAACACTGTGTTAATCACAACAAGCTCCTGCAGGTGGCTTTGGGGCTTTTCCCCCTCTATCTTTCCCCACCCCCACTTTTCCCTTGTTTTTCCAATAGAGAAGTGGGAAGAGCAGTTAGGAATTTGTCTATCTAGCTACTATTTGGCAGCTAACATTTTAAAGCTTATCTGAAGTATTCAGAGACTTTATTCAATTAGTCTGTCCCAAATCTAACACCCTCTTTTCTTCTCACAGGCTGAGAGCTGCTACTGAGAGAAGCCCGGAAATATCACAGCACCAACCACGCTCTTATCGCCCAGACATTCTTCAACTCTGAGGACCGAAACTAAAAAAAGAGGAAGCTTCAATTCTGAAACATCCAAGCATGAGAAACAGCACACAAACAAAAACAGGACTTCCAGAGCTGAGTCAAGGGCTCAAAATGCCTGAGCACTCCAGATCTGGAAGCACATCAAAATTCTTTTGCAAAACAATTACAGCAGACGCAGATTCACAGAACTGGAGTCATCACTTCTGATGCAATACAGCTCCTACTTGTGCTGGTGGCTTTCTGCTGCAAAACCACAGGGGTTAAACTTCCTTAACAAGTGATCTTTTAATATTGATCATTTGAAAACAATTAAAAAATTGGAATAGAAGCCTTCAGCAAGGTCAAGTAAGAGACATACTCTGATTTTATAAGCATAGCTTTTCAAGATGCGAGACTTCAGAGCTTAAAGGGTATTTTAAATATTATGAAAACACATATATTTAGAACATCTCTTACTCAGAAATAATTCTGACCACTACAAAAAAACAAAAGCAGCCAAACAAATCAGACGAAGAGATCAATACAGAACAATTCTGTCTTTGGAAAGATTCTAACAACTGCAGATTCTTAAATCTCTGATTTTAGAACTTAGTTAAGGAAGAGTTAAGTGTGGTGTGAAGGATATCTTAAGGCACAAAATCCACCAAGCAGTGGAAATGAAGAGTCCAAATGTTTAACAACTTAAACAGTGCTGATGTGAGCTGCTGGGTTGTAGGGAAACAATTCCCCAAAATCATGATAAAGTTCACCACACCAATCCGCACTGCAACCAGCGTGCCATGAGCACCCGGCTAAGTGAGCAAACCACGCCAAGACAACCAGAGGCAGTGCTCCTCCATTAAACCCCTGCTGAACGACCTACAGCCATCCCACGGCACAGGGATGAGCATTTTGGTCCTATGGAAAGTAAACCAAGAGTTTCTACAGGAAGTTTCTTCATCCAAACATCCTCTCCACATCAATTCGTGCAAGACTTCTCCAGACAGAAGACAGTGACAGAAACAAACTACAGCCACCTCAAACTTTCTAATTTAGCCTGAAACTAAATTTCTAATTGAGCCCACAGCCTCACCACAATTTCTCCTCTTTGCCCCCCTGAAGCTGCATAAATCCACTTCATGATGCTGAATGCACTGCATAGAACTGCCCCTTAAAAGACATTTCTGCCCTGCCTAATGGCTGCCTATGGCTTAAGGCACCTCTGTCAATTGAGAATGAAATCAAGAAGAGGAATAAAGTGGACTGTTTCTCATTCCTGCTCTATACCCCTCAAAAGCAAAGAATAACAAATAACACAAAGCTCCCTAGACAAACTTACAGCAAGGCCACATTCATGTTTTTGGTTGAGAGCGGTACTGCAGCAGTGTAAGGTTGGAGCCATTTGATAGGTGCACTGTCAGAGAGCAGCCTTGGAATTCAAGCAAGTCCACACCTTAGAAGAAACTCAAAACCTCAGGTGTTGAACTGACAAACTTAGTTTTGACCTGATGTTGTACCACTGGCTTTGATGTCACTCTGGATGTTCCAGCAGCATCCTACACACTTACAGCAGGCTGCTGAACCCAAGATGGTGAGCACCAACGTGTATTCTGGCTAGAGAACAACTTTAAGTGGAAAGAGTCACTAAAGCAGCACAAAAAAGGACCTGGTAACAATACCTGAGCACTAACAGGCCTGGAGCTGTGATTCTTTGAAATCAAACTGAAAAAACATCTGTAAGAAAATCCAGGAAAAAAAAAAAACAAAAACAAAAGTGTTTTTCATAGAATTCACACCATCTGCAGTAATGACCACTGTTCGCAACCAACCAGTGTACAGTGTTCTGACACTTAACACAAGGCACTTCCAGTTTCATTATTTTTTTTTTTCCTCAACTAGGCCAACCTTACCCTCCTTTCTGATAAGGAACAGGATATTTTCCTGACAAATGAAGTGAAACCATGCATACTACATGGCCGTGAACTTTGCTGAGATGTCACATTTTCATTTACATTAAGGAGACACATCTGTGTAGGTGCCACACTGTAAGGAGGATGCAACTCTCCATGCTTATTACAAAAAGAAAGGGAAGGGGTGCACTTGAAGGCTGCTCAGACTTCTCTCCCCACTCAGAAACGAAAGGGCAGTTGGGGAAAAAAAAAAGTCACTGCATCCTTTTGCAAGACTGACGACAGCAGTACTGAGAAGACAGAGATGCAACCTCAGCAGAGGATCTGTACAGGTACAGAGGATCATGTCACACAAAAGCCATTAGCAATGCTCAGCAGAGTGAAGAAGCAATTCAAGTGTGGTATTTTGTGTAACCTCTGATACACTACTGAAGCCTTTTTTGATTTCAGCATTAAGAAGAACAGAAAACTCTTAACTCAAACTCTACTCAACAGTACTGCCATCCGTGTTCCAAAGCCACACAGTTCTACAGCTGGAGCACTAGAGAAATTCAAAGCAGGGCCTTGACTACAATTATGCAGAACTAGAGGACGTTCTCCATTTCTTTGGAAGGAAGTGCTGAGATTAAGTAGTAGAAAAATAAGTTTGGGCTGAAATTAGTATTTTAACCTCAGCAATGAGGTCAGGAAAGCTTGGGTGCTAACATCACACACACGAAAATAAAACAAAACAAAAAAAACAACAAACCCTGCAACAGTCCCCTCAACCTACCAGACAACTGCTCCTCCCCACTACCTCATTTAATACAGTTACACAGTACCCAGAGATACAGACTGACACAGCTAATACCTTCTTAGCTAATTTCAGAACCCTGCCTGAAATGAAGTTCATGAAAAGTTACAAGCTTGAAAATTGGGAACACCAGAACCTGAGGAGGTTCAACAAGGCCGAGTGCAGGGGTGGGGCTAATCCAGATATAAGACCAGACCAGGAGAAGAACTCACTGAGAGCAGTCCTGTGGAGAAGGACCTGGGGGTCCTGGTGGATGAAAAGCTGGCACGAGCCAGCAGTGTGCTCACAGCCCAGAAGGCCAACAGTGCCCAGGGCTGCATCCACAGAGGGGGCAATGGACCAAGAGAGGGGACTGTCCTCCTCTGCTCTGCCTTCAAGGCCCCACCTGTGGTACTGAGCCCAGGCCTGGGGCCTCCAGCACAAGAAGGATGTGCAGCTGTTGGAGCGGGTCCAAAGGAGGGACACAGAGATGCTCAGAGCAGCACAGGTGCCCCATCCCTACAGGTGTTCCAGACCACAGGTGCGGCCCTGGGCAGTCTGATCGGGTGGGGAACAACCATCCCACAGCAGGGGTTGGGACTGGGTGGCCTTTAAGGTCCCTTCTGAAATAGCCATTCTGTGACACACACAGCAGACTGCAGCCGGCTATATTCAAACGAGGCTCAAAGCTCTCAAGCCTAGTAAAACCACACAATGGCGTGTCAACAAATCAGCACATCTCAAGAAGGAATAAATACTACATTCTAACTGGCATTATTTTCTGCCACACACATCTGCAGTCAGCCAGCATGGACATGCTCTGCACCTGCACATACACTTAAATCCAGCACCTGAACAACAACAATAAAGCTTTCAAAGCCACCAGACGCAGCACTTTCTTGATCAGCACAGGCTATGGAGCTACTGACAGCAGAGTCAAACTAGAAGCAGTGAGTCAGTTCCTTACCTGAAAGAAGTGTTTTCCTACAGGAGGCTCCAAAAGTTAAGATAACCCTGTAAGCAAGGGAAAGATAGTTGAAGAACTGTAAGGAGTAAATAAAGAATAAATGTGTTGCACACATTTAGTGACACCTCTTAACATGATGGGCCATTAAGTCCAAAGCATCTGCAACTCTTCTTTAAAAGAAAATTAAGAAACTGCCACCAAAAAACCATCACATCTACATCAACAGGCAGCCCTAAGAATGCACCAAAGGCCAGAGCTCGCCCACGTGCCCTTCCTGCAGCCCAGACACATCAGCACAGGATGGAGCCACGCAGAGGTGAGCAGAGATGCTCAGCACGGCCATCCGACAGCCACCACGTCTGCTCCTGTCAAGGGCTGATGAACCACAGCCATTGAGCTTCTGGAGAATTTAGCATGCCCTACAGTTAACTTAGGGATTGCACCCTCATTCTCTGACCAAGAGGGAGAATTTAGGTCAATATCACTGCTTAGATTAGCCAGGAACTGCAGGAGCAAGAAAAAGAGCTTTGGAAAACTTATCCAATTAAAGGTAAGAATTAATTATACGCTTCTTACATTTCAATCAAGGCAGTACTGTTATAAGCAATTACCATGCTAGCCTCATTCCCAACGTGACCTTAATTAATTACTGTGGATTACAGACAAGCAGACAGTAATCTGACTGCTCAAGTGAAATCTTTCCACGCGGACACAGCGGCGGCGTTAATGGTGACAAGGGGGGGAACGGGTGCGTGCCGACCCGCACCGCCTCCAGCTCCCCGCCCAGCTCAAGTCACACAGAAGTTAACGAAGTAATTACACAGCGAATGCTGGAAACGGGACCTTCATAAGGAACGGAACGAGGCCGGGGCAAAGGCAGCTCCGGGATACAAGCGCTCATTACCGACACGGAGGAGCCCCAGGTCACGAGCTCTGCTTCACGCGGCCCGGCCGGGACACCGGGTCCGCCCCGACCTCACCGCCAAGAAAACGACGCGGCGCCTCCGGCCGCACGCGTTAAGGGCGCGCGGCGCGAAGCGGCTCCGCGATGACGGCGGAGACGCCCGTACCGCCCGGCCCGCAGACTTCGGCAGGGACAAAGAGGACGAGGATGCGCCCCGCGGTCCCGCCCGCAGGAACGGCGCGGCACCGTCAGTCACCCCGCGGCTCCGCCACCGTCACCCCGCGGCGTCCCGCCCCGCCCCGCCCCCGCGCGCCCCGCGGACCCCCCCGTGCCCGGCCCCGCCGCTCCGCCGCCCCCAACCCCGCAGCCGCGAGGTGCCGGGCCGGGCCCGCGGCGCTCCCCGGCCGCCCGCACGGCTCCGAGGGCCGCGGCGAGGGGCGGTGGGCGGGGGCGCGGCCCGGAGCTGCCCCGCTGCGGCGCGGCCGCGGGGAGCGGCGCCCGTTCGGTGCCCCCACGGCGCGGCCCGAGGGACGCGGGGACGCCCGGCCCTTTGTGCGCGGGGCCGCGTGCGGCCGCGCCCGCCCGGCCTCCCTTCCCTCGCCTCGCCGCGGGCCCGCAACGCGGGGCGGGCAGCGAGGGCCCAACCCGTCCGGACGCCGCCGCGCTCTTACCGAGGGATCCGTACGGGAAAAGGGCTGAGAACGGCGCCAACACCGCCCCCGGGCCCCGCTCCGCGCCGAGCCCCGCGCCACCGACCGCGCAGCGCCACAAAATGGCCGCCTCGCTGCGGCGCCGCCACCCGCCGCCAGGGAGGGGCGGGGCCGGGGGCTGTGTGGGCGGGGAGGGGGGCGGGGCCAGGGGCGGGGGCGGGGCCGAGCGCCGCTCCCTCCCGCCGTGAGGCGCGCGGGCACCGGGCGCGAGGCGCTGAGGGCGCCCTGGGGCGGCGCGGGAGCGCGCGTCGTGCTGCGGCACCGCGCTGCGCGCTGCCGAATCCAAAGCCCGCTTGGGTCTCATGACAGCCGAAAGCCAAAGCCGGGCTGACACACGGCAGCAAAAAGCTTGGCGGGAAGCGTTCTTGCGGCAGGATGGAAAAAGCAGGAGGCAGTAGAACGGTGCTAAAGAAAAGCTGAGCGGGAAATAGATTTCTTCACTGCTTTCACACTTCCACAAAACCGGAGCGCGGCGTCTCCGCGCCATTCCGTTTGTTTCTCTGCTCTGAGCCTTTCCGCTGCCCGCACTCAGCGCCCCTCCCCCACGAATGGACCCTCCGAGACCCCGCAGCTCCGGGGCGGAGGAAATCCCTCCTTCTCCCTGTCTCTCCCTCCTCTCCGACGGCAAACCCCCGTCGGCACGGGAGGTTGGTGCCGGCTGCCGGCGGAGGGTCGCAGCTCGGACCCGGCGCTGACGCCGCCCCGCGGATCTCCTGGGATCGTGTGGGAAACGGGGCTTCGCGAGCCAGGAACGGTTGGTCCGCCGCTCTGGGAAGCGACGCCGTTCTCACCCGACCACGAGAGGCGCTGCGCTCCGTGCGGGGCGCTGCGGGAGCGGCGGGGGGGACGCGGTGCCGGCTTTGTATCTGAGGTACAAAGGCAGCGCCCGGCTGGGAAGGGAGCAGAGCTGGCCCAGCCCAGCGGGCACGTCGTTGTGAGGCGGAGGGAGCGAGACGCGCTGTGCTCAGAGCCCGGGCCAGGAAGACCGTAACGAGGCACAGCGAGAGCTCAGCTGGCTCAGGAGAGCCCGAGCACGAGGAGACTCCTGGAGGAGGGGGAGGAACTTCCCGGCGAGGCGTTTCCACCTCTTCCTCCTCACAGCCATCCCCGCAGCTGCGCTATGGACGGGCTGCCCTCCTGCAGTGCCGCGGCGCCGATCGCGGCGGCAGCGTCCGGCAGCGCAGGCGGAGCCGCCGCCTCCAGCGCGGCCCACGCGGGGTCACTGCCGTCCCGCCGTGCCGTGCCGGCTGGGGTCGGACGAGGGCCGGCGCGGCTCGGCGGAGCTCCCCGCCTTCTAAGAGCGGCCCCGTGCTCTTCCGTTTGGAGGCAGCACGCGCCGTCACTGCGGGATCCGGGCGGTGTTTGCGACTGCGAAACATCGTCTTCCCCAGCAGGCAGCAGGGCTGTCACTTCGGGGCAGGCGGCACCTTCTGCTGAAACCTCCTCAAAAGAGAGGGACCCGCTCCTCCTCCACCCCCCTTCTCTCCGCACCCCCTGCAGCCCGTGTGCTCACTGCTGCTGCCTGGGAGCTGAATGAAGCTCCGGCTCCGGCACGACGTGGCTTTTCTCCAAAAGAGCTGGAATGGGCTGAAATGGGTGGGGGAATCACCGACCCTGGAGGTTTGATGTTTGTAGTGAGGGACGTGGGTTAGTGGGGATATATTGGTGGTAGGTGGACTGGATGATCTTGGAGATCTTTTCCAACCTTGGTGATTCTGATTCTAAGGGGAATGAAGGAAATTGGGCTGCAAGTGGCGATAAGCTGACATATAGCACTAGGCTTGCTTTGGGGAGGCAGCAGCCTGTGAGGACACCCTTGGTCTCAGTCTTCTAAATGCCTTCATGGGCTTGGGCCCTAAATCCTGCCAGCATCCAAGCCTGGCACCTGAGATCTCACAGTCCCTTGGGTTACTCCTTAGCAGCAGTTTGGTTCCAGCTCCACACTGGGCTCCAGCCTGCGCCTGAGCTCTGCCAAAAGAGCACGTGGCAGCTGCTGGCTGCGCCCAAAGGCTGATGGCCTGGGGGGCACCTCCTCCTCAGTAACACCAGGTAAAGCAGGCACTGCAATACTGAACCTCAATTTAAAACTCCCACTGCTGATGAGCACCTGAGCCTCTCTCTGTGGACCTCCCAACACCAGCAACAGGACCCTTGTGCTTTCTCTTTGCTTGTGTTTTCACAGAAAGCCTTCATGTTCAGCCTCATGTTCTCACATCTCATATTCCTCCTCCAGACAGACAGGGAGGAAGACAATCCCCTGCTAAAGGGATACTCAAGCTCCCTTTTGCATACCAGTAACCACTGAGCACTTCAGACAAAGTGCAATGGCTTTGATGGTGAGGAGGAGTAAGCCCTGGGTGGAGGCCAGGGCAGGAGGAGTCCCTGTGAGTGACAGGAACTCTGACAGCAGCAGCTCTCAGCAAACACATCGCCCTTATCCATCTCACCCTTGGTGACTGTCTGCCAGACGATCCCTGGATGTACCCACACAGCCTCAGCACTGCTCTGCAGAGCCTCAGCTCGGCGCCGGCCCCACCAGCCAGTTCTGTTGAACCTGCCACCGCTTTGCTGTGCCCACATCAAACCCAATGCCGGGCAGCGTCAGGACAGGGGCCTCCAGTCTGCCTCCCTCCTTTGCTGCAGGGCTCCTGACGCAGGCCTGCCTGTTCCTCTGGTCTCTGTCTCACCACGGGGCTGACTGAGCGCAAAGCCTGGCAGGAGGGTTAGGCTGACAACAGACCTCCCACTGCCAAGGGATGCAGGGGAAGATGGAACCCCTGCGCAACTCTTACTTACAGGGGAATGTGAGACTACAAAAAGCCCTTCTACAGAGAGGGGTGATGAGCGAGCAGGATGGGTGGTCTGGTGCTTGCCATGTCCTGCACAACACCCAGCAGCCCTCAAAGCAGAGCCCTACCTCCCAGCGCCTTGTGCTGAGCAGACCCACAGCCACCCCTCAGCCCCTGGTAGCTGCACAGCCTCTCCAGGCACCGAGGCAGAGAGCGGGCAGCAGCCCTGGAGGCTTGTTGCAATTGATAGCTGAAAGAATCACTTTTACCATTTTCATGTGCAGATCCGTAGGACACGATGGCAGAGATGATGAAAAGCTCACTCCAGCTCTGCACAAAAGCTATGCTGAAAACATCCAGAAATTCACCACCACCACCCCGAGCACCCAGCACTGCGAGGACGCTCATCCCTGGGGACATGCTCTCTTCCCAGGCAGGTGCCAGGTCTGCCTCTCCCCAGAGCACTGCAGCCAGGTGAGCTGTGTCCGTATGGCTGTCCGGCACGGGCTCCTCCTGCTCTGCTGATGGGAGCCAGGCAGGGGCACAGGGCTGTGCTGAGCCCAGCCAGCACATGACATTTTACACAGTGCAGTAAGAAGACAGGCCCGGGCAATGGCAGGGGGAATCCAAGTCTGTGAGCCTGAGCTGATGCACTTGGTTTGTAGGCTCTCTTGATTTGGGCAGGGAGTCCATTTCACAGCAAAGCTGTGCGCTGCCGAATCCAAACATGAGGTTGCAGAAATCTACCTGGGAAAGGGCCTTGTGAGGTTAAGACACTATTGCTCTTCCTTCTGCTCTTGTCACTGAAGGCTCCAGGTCCCACCTGTCTCTGCTGCCAGTGAGGTTGTTGTGACTGGGCCCGTGACTGGGCCAACACAGGTGATTCTGGACTGCTGAGTGCCAGGAGCAGCCCCTGATGGCTGTGCTCAAGGCACACTGCCTTTTCCCAGAGCCTCCAGAACTGCCATCACCTCCAGAGCACCAACAGCACACAGGGTGTGACCAGTGAGTCTGGAGCACCAGCACCCTGCTCCCAGCTCCTTCCTGGGGTGGGGATGGAGGGAAGATCCACAAAGTCCCCCAATCTGAACATCACAGTGCCCCAGCCGGGCAGCTCAGCCTAATCACACCTCCAGCACCACCAGGCTGTGCAGGGCCAGCCACCTCCTGCACGCTGCCTGCAGTGCCCACGACCTCTAGATTAAGGATATTAGCAGTATATCCCCACTTATCCTCTGAGTATCCATGTGTGCAGCTACTGCCCATGAACTTGCCTAATCCTTTTTTGACCCTGAAAGGTTCCCAAAGATCATTGCTCCCGTGTGTTTTCCTGTATCTGCTTCCACCTGTTCTCTCCCTAGTTTAACCAAATGCTCCATCCTTGCCGCCTGAGCTTTAAGAACAACAGCAATAGCCCACAGCCTGGTTTTGAAGTGCTGGCATCATGCTCATTCCCAAACATTATTCATGAATGCTGAAATCCAGGCTGGAAATGCAGCTCCAGGCAGAAATGGCCGTGCTTTTTCACAAAAAAGAAAGACCAGGGACAACCATGGAGATCGTATTTATTATTATAACAGAGGAGAGGCTGCTTTACTGATTCGTATTTACAAATCTGTCAGCAAAGAAAGTAATATCCAGTGTAATTTATTAGCCTATTTTACAGCCCTGGCAAGAAGCATTTATGTGTAATAGCAGCAAATGCCTATGCTCTGATTGCCTGCTACAGCTAAGTGCAAGGGATAGCATGGAAGGCCGGGGTGGCGGCTGGCTGCAGGCAGTGTGTCTGCAGCCCAGAGAAGGGGCAGGCAGCAGGCCCAACCCTTGTGGGGCTGGGATGCACACCCTGAGCCTGTTCAGTGATTGAAATTTTGGCAGAACACAGCAGAGCTGGTAACCACCTGCCTGCATTTCTGGGAATGCGGCCCATCCAAAGCACGAGGAGACCGGCATTTCTGAGGCCAAATAGAGCTGAACTGCTTGCAAGCACTGTGAAGGATGAGAGTGTAGAGCAGATCCTCACACAGCTGTGTGGTTTGCAGGCCCAGTTCCTGACAAGGGAGCAAGGTTTCCTGGATCACAGAAGCACGGGGTACAAGGGGAACTACGACCCTCGGCTAACATGGGCACAAACTGAACTGCCACTGCGGAGGTCTCTGAGCAGAGCTGTGCCCTGGAAACCCTACTCAGAGAAGTTCAGATAGGCTCAGGGAACTCCCTGCACATGGTACCCCGTGCCCAAATGCTTGGCTCAGACTCAGACATCAATGTGAAACCTCCCTGCTGGGCTCCCTGCTTGACTCTGCAACCCAGG